TCTCTTCGCTCTTGACCGCGTGTGCTCGCCACTGTTTACAGTCCCCATGTAACACGTGTGCAGGAGACGCGACACAATATCCTGCGGCGTCTCAGGGACAAGATCCTTTTCGCCCGTGATGCGACGCAGCTCCGACAAGGTTCTCTCATCGCCTGACTTGACAGACTGCAATACCACTTTGGCCATGCCGTACACAAATAGCGAAACACTGGCACTATCAAGCCCTCCGGAGAGGGCGATGAAGAAGCCTCCCAAGTTGGAGCGCGTGAGATACTGCCACAGGTAGACTGCTTCCGCCATGTAGATCTCCTGCATGGGATCCGGGATATTGAGCTGGATTTCGCGAGAGAGGTGGAGGGTATCGGAGATGAAGACTTCGTCGGCGGGCCGGCTGAGGTAGAGGTCGCACTCCACACGGGGATAGTCCGGTTGAGCGGCGCCTTGGACGTTGCGCGAGATGCTGCTTCTGTGGCTGCGGATGGTTTCCAGGTCGATTGTTGCGGTGAGGACTTCGACTTCTTTCTAGTGTGTGTGTCAGCGATGTGCGACAACGGCTCGGGGAGGGAAACGCACGAGTGAGAATTGGGGGGATTGGCCCAAGACGGCGCCATTGCAGAGGATCATGGATGAACCGTCAAACATCATTCTTGCTTCGCCGTCTACTTGCATGTTAGATTTGAACGAATGCGTTGCAGAATTGGTTCTTCCTACCAACACCCGTGGCGTTTGCGTACACGTACAAACCGCCCAATTTGCGAGTGCAGTTCTGAATGAGATTAAGTCTTGTATTCAGCTTCCTCAGTTCAGCATGTGACGCGCTCGAGTTCAGAATGACTTCAACGCCATTGAGGCCCATGTACGTTGACGGGTTTGAAGGCTAAAAGCATTAGCACAAGCATTCCTGCATAAGAAAACTCGGAGCTTGAAACAAACTCACCGTGAAAAGTTCCTCGCAGGTCTCACAACTACACTCATTAGCATCTCTCACCCTCCAACGCTCACACCACCATACTGAAACTCACCCAACAGAAGTATCCATTGTCGAAAGAACCACGTCGCCAATCGGCACTGATCTCTGCCCCGTAATGTCCCTCACAACTTTTTCCAAATAATACGTCTCAGTGGTCCGAGGCTTCGACCATGCGGTGAAATGCCTCGCCTCGCGGTACAGTCCGTCATTGGCAAGACTCATCTTGGGCCGAATCATGTATATATGTTGATACGTGAGAAGCACGCGGCAGTTATATCGAACATTCCTGTGGCGAACTCCCATGCCTACATCAATGAGCATATCCTTGATCATGGGATCGTTGAGGATCTGGGCGACGACTTCCCACGAGTGGAGGAACGTGTCACCCTCAACTGCGTTGGTCAGCTTGTCATTTCACGCTCTCCACACAATACCAATCATCGGATACTCATAGATCATAGATCATGGTGATGTTTATGAGACATACGGTGGTGATCGAGGCATCCATAGCCAGGAACTTCCAACTGCTATCATTTAGCGACTCATGTCAAATTTGTCAGGGAGCCGCATATAGATCATGCATACCTCAGGTCCAGTACGCAGTTTTGCACCTTGCTCCTTGGCCAGTTTGATACTCTCTAGAATACGCGCAAGGTTGCCTTTGAAGTCGAGCGGCACACTCGTAAGAGTGGCTGCTGCAACGGTAATGTACGACATGCTGCCTTGGTGACGAGGTTTGTTGAGGTTGGTTGTGGGGCCGGACTTTGGTTGAAGTTGAGGGTCCAGACTCCAGATAACCAACTACTAGTAGAGCTGACTCACGGAGGTTTGGCGTTGAGTTCTCCACAGAAGTAAAGTATAAGAGACATGACGAAAGTACTACTAGTTACTTAGTAGCCTGCGGTTTCCTAGTTTATGAGGAAGGTTAAGTTCAAATCCTAACAACGCTAATTGCCATCTGGGCTTAGCTCAGTTGCCTGTTTCTTCTCGAATCGTCACTTCAGACTTGCGAGCGTCAAGTCTACGTTGGAGTCCACGTGATCTGCTGCGAGGATGGTTGCTGAGCCAACGAAATACCAAAGTGGGTCATCATGCAACGTGTTTTGGGCGTGATGGCCTTGTGGAATTGATTCAAACGACGAGACTTTTTTTTCTTTTGGCAATTGTTAAGATACGATCTCGAATTTTTACAAATTCTGAACCGTGCACCACGAAAATAGTGCGCTGATTCTACTATTGCAGAATAGATTTCCCACGTCCTGATTTCATTTTTGCACTTTGAGCATCAACAAACGGAACGTTCCATGACATTAGACTGAACTTTGACATCACTGACAGTGTCGACAAATTGTTTGCCATTCTACGATAGACTTGTTGCACCTTGGCCCTCTGCATTATGGCGTCCCCATTGTCTCCTGTCCGCGAGGCGAGCATTAACAGAACCACGCCGCCCAGCAAGAGGAAGTACGAGCAGTACGAGGTGCGCTCGTTTACCTCAACAACCACCACTACGAGCACGAACAAGCTCGGCACCGAACTTCTAGATGAATCCGGAAACTCCTCACCGTTTTTGTCTTCCGTCAATGAGACCAGCAATACGGACCAGGAGAACGTCTCCCCGTCAAAGGCTCGGAATAGTCGTGTCATTTCCGGGACGGAGCTCTCACCGCTCAAGATTCTGGGCGATCAGAAAAGCGCCTCGAGCAGTAGCACAGAAAATGGGTCCATGGGACCACCACCACAGAGAAGTCCGAGAAAGGTGTCCCCGGTGGCGAGATTTCCCATCAAAATTAGCCCAAGGGGTGAAGATGATGAGGGGAGGGCGATAAAAGAGAGGAAGATTAGTGTGGCAGACATGGTGAGAAGCAATGAGGGTCTGAAGAAGGCGGTTGATATATTTGAGGATGAGAGCGAGCTGCGCGTGGATGCAGATGCGGATACGAACGCAGAGCTGCGACCTGGAGAGCAGGAGCACGATGATGCTGCCGGGCCGGATGAGTCGATGATCAGCACCTTTAGTACCTTCTCCGTGGTGCCTAATCTGACGGTTTTTGCGAAGCTGGGACAGAGTCCGACTAGATCTGGGCTTGATGGATACACCCCACGATCAAAGCTGCAACAGGATTCCTCTCATCGGCCGGTTACCCCGTCGGACGGTACCAACAACAGCACAAATTTGTTAATGGATTTCACGGACCAAATGCGTTTTCCACAGCAGAAGTCACCTGGTAAGCGAGGCGCCTTGTCGCCGTCGCGAACAACACCCGGTGTCTCGGAGACGCCACATCACCAAGCCACCAACCTGATTGATTTTGATATTCCCCCTTTGCCTACACCCCGAAGCCTTCCATCCATTACACCCCGTGAGCTAGAATCACTCAAGTCTGGGTTTTTATCAGAAATCAGTTCCCTCAAGGCATCTCTGAGCGGGAAAGAAGCGGAGGTTCATTCTCTCAAGACTGCAGTTGGCGATGCTGAAAAGCGAGTCGGCGAGTCGATGGAGCAACTACGCGAAGAACGAGGCATCAGGGAACAACTATCCGCCGAAAAGGAGGACTGGGCAAAGCGTGGACGTGAAATGGAGAATGTCCTCCGCAAGATCAAGGAGGAGGTTATGACTAGCCAACGCGAACGAGAAGAGCTCGAGCAGAAACTCGAAGAAAGCGAGAAGCGCAGAGAAGCAGCCGAGATGCTACACCAAGAGGCCGAGAGCAAAATGGCTGGTATGCGTGCTGGCAAGGACAGCGAAAAGACAAAGGACGCCATTACATCTCCTGAAAAGGCCAAGGCTACGTCGAACAAGGAAGTAGAAATTGCTGTGGAGAGAGTGGCCAGAGAACTTCATTCCCTGTACAAAGGCAAGCACGAAACGAAAGTTGCAGCCTTGAAGAAATCCTACGAAGCCCGCTGGGAGAAACGCGTCAAGGACATGGAAAGGCGTATCGAGGAACTGGGCGAGGAAAATGCTACGCTTCGCGAGAACCATGAAACCAATTTGACGAGACTGGAGCCTGATAATACGCAGATCGAAGAGCGCAAGGCGCAGGCTGCCAAGGATAGTGCGGCAATTAAAGAACTCAATGCGGATGTCCAGCGGTTAGAGGCTGTTATTTCGACTGTCAAGAAGGACAATGGCGAGTTGAGAACCATGTTGGAGAGGGAGAGGGTTGAAAAGGGCGAGTTGGTGCAACTGGCGGAGGAGATGATGTCTATGCAAAGCTTTGTTGGGGGTGCGCAGCAACAACGTGCACAGCAGCAACAGCAACAGCAACAGCAACAGGAACGGGCTGATTTAGTAAAGACTCCGAGAGCGTCGGGGGAATATACGAGAAGTAGTAATGTTGGGAGGAGCGGTGGCTCAGGAATCAGGGCTCCTGGATCTGCTATTCGGCCGCCGGGGCATGTGAGGGGGGGGAGCGGAGGGCTACCGCGGCCGGGGAGGAGCGGAATTATGAGTTCGATCGAGAAGATGGGTAGTTATAGGGGGAGAGGGCAGGATTAGAGAGTGCCGTACATGAGAGATGGCTTTGGTCTTGAGCATTGTCATGGTTGATGGGGATGGGGAAGAGACGCTCTTGGGACTAGATGTGCAAATGGAAAGAGAGTAATGAATGTATGAATTGGCGTTTGGGTCAGAGCAAATTCTATCATATACCGCGTCGATTTAGTGAGTGAACTAAGTGAGGCCTGTTGCGTTGTCATTGCCTCTCTATCTGAGAGGTGCAAAAGAGACTTGGGGTAGGTTTCAGATGCGTCTGAATGAAATACTGGCTTGTTTTGCTTCATCTATCCACAGTCTGATCAACTTATCGTGGGCTCAAGGGCACCAAGCATCGATTCTTTCAGAGTCTGTAAAAGATACCCTTTTGGAAATACCTCCTGGAAACCTTAACAACAAGTGGGCTTCGCTCATATTGCTTACAGAAAAAAAAAATCCTCTATGGATCAGATCAAGTGATGGATATTAAGTCTTACCGATACACCTCAACTACATAGTACGACGTCAAGTGCTGGCATTTTAGCCTCTCCCCTACAAATTATACGCCTTCTTGGCCGTGCCGCCAAAAATCATGGCCCTCTCCTCATCCGACAATGTTGCCATCCAGCACATCTTCTCCACGACCTCCTTCCACTTCGGCCATGCCTCGTCACCCATTCCCTCCAACGTACACACTGGCCAATCACTACCAAACATGATTCGGGACGGGCCAAATGTCGCCAGCACAATGCCCAGCCACCCCAGCGTCGATTGGAAAATGTGTGCCGGGTCCTGGGCGCGCAGGGCCTCGGGCATTTCCGAGAACCCCCCAGACAGCTTCATGTAAATGCTCGACGCCTTGCTGAGAGTGTACATGGCCGTGCGCCAGGCGCGAAAGGAGGGATCGGACGTGAGGTTGTAAATGCTAAGGTCGGGCTTGCAGAGGTGGTCTGCCAGGCCAGTCAGCAAAAGCAGCTCACGTGCCGCATCAACGCCGTCGAAGAGACCTACTCAAAATGATGGTGACCTTTTTGTCCTCCTCGACCCCGTCATGAGCCCTGTCAATCATCTCCACCAGCTCGTCGAGCTGCTTCTTTCCCCGTCTGTGCTGATCAATGCCCACCTCAAACACGAGCCCCCTTTCGCCCAGCAGTTTCAGGCTCTCGATGAAGCCGTCTGCCAACATGGTCCCGTTGGGTTTATCCTGCAGCAGGTACCTGAACCCTTTGACCTTGGGCCAAGCGTCCCCGGCTTCCTCCTTTACCTTGTCGATATACCTCACCATGACGTCCTTGCCGCTGGGCATTGGTGCCCAGGGTACGATTCCCAGACACAGCTTCGCATCGTCGGCGGTGTGGCCCTCCCCGTCTTTTGGCTGGCCGAGGGCGACCCTCTTGATCCAGTTGACTTCCTGGAGGGGGGCCTCCCAGCCCGAGCCGTCGGTTTCCCCAGCATCCAGGTCGTGTTTGCGGTCCGCCTCCACAAAGACGAAGCCGAGGAGGGACGGGGCTGATTTGGCGGCTTCCTTGTATTCGGCAACGGAGCGCTGGCCGTAGAGAGGGTTGGACGGCGCGCACCAGGCGAGAGAATCAACTTCGGACCTGGGGTAGAGGTGGATGTGGGAGTCGATGATGGGGAGGATGAGCTGGTCGTCGGCCATGTTGAGATTCGGGACAGGGGGATGCAGGGCGCGGAGGAAATAAATTAGGCACGATATTTTTTAGAGGGGCTTATGAAATGATGAACTCCCTGAAGCTGAGAAGAATAAGGGGCTACTGATTATGAGATTGCAGAAATGAAAAAATAATAGGAAACAAGAAACGGGAGACGTCTGAATGTTCCGCAGAAGTCAAGGTCTCAGCCCAAGTTTCCAGTCGGTCTAAACTAACCCCGCTGCTGGGTGTCAACAGGTGCACACTGCACAGGTGGTCCCTTCCTTCAAGTTCCCCGCTGGTCCCCGAATTGTGCAGCGGCAAACGTGGAGCAGTCTCCACCAGAGCTTAACGCCCGTCTGCACCTCGAAAAAACGCGACGGGTAATTCTCCATGTCCTGTTTCTCATTCACTCTTCACTCCCATTGCACACTACCGTCATCGATTGGCGCGCCATTTCATGAATAGATTCAACCGTCTTCTATTCAAAAGGGCAGTGAAGCTGCCTCTGGTCTATCTACTACACTTTTGGCTAGCTCAAGACCATCCCATGGCCCGGTCCTTCGCCACATCCACAAAAGTGTCCAACCCCCTCCCCTTTCCTTCCTCCTGGAGCCGGTCCTCGATCTGTAAAATCGAGGCTGTCCACACTTGACGTTTTGAAGATGGAGCAGGGAGGCTGAAGTCCTCCTTCGAAGCCCCCCTCCTGTTCAAGAACTAACAAACAAAAACTCCCGCAGGCACGAGCTTCGGCCATGTGCCTACGGGGGGCCGCAGCATCGACCCATTAGTCTTCACCCGCAGTTGAGTTGGCCAGCCTACTCCAAGAACCTGCTTGGCGCGGCTTTCTACGCTGCGGGTGAGGGGGTACAGTAAATGCAAGCAAAAAGGCTGCACTGATTCGGAATTTACCACAACAAGAACTTGGGGAGCAAGACGGCAAGACGCCAGTTCGTCAGCGTCCGCCTGCTCAAGGGAATGAACTGCCGGATTTCTCTAATTCGGCCTTCCTCTGATGACCAACACGCGTACCTTTCACTTTTCAGCACTGGCCTTTCAATTGACAACGATTCCATGGCGGCGAGAGTGGCTGCGGGAGTACTGGACCTCGTCCTCCTCATCCTCGCTGGCGTAGCTGGAGCAGTCGGAGCTATCGTCTCCGTATCCGCACTTGGAGCCGCCGCAGTCGAGCTTGACGCGCTCGCCTCTGCGGGTGATTCCGTAGCGCTCGCAAGTGCATGTGCTGCAGTCTGAACCTGGTGTGCTGTAGCCGGAGAGGGAGGAGTTGGGAGACGAGCTGTCGGAGCGGTACGACAGCGAGGAGCCACTGGATGAGACGGGAGATGTGCCAAAATCGGTGATGAAATCCTCCTCGTCGATGCCAGCGCTGCCAAAGCGGGCGGTGAGTTCCTCGATTGCCTCATTGTCGTAGTAGTCAGACTCGAGGATGTGCTTGGTCGCGTGCGGAGACATGGGCTTGGGAGCCTTGATCTGGGACACCGAGAGAGGTCGTCCCTTGGGGATGTCAACGGAGAGTGATGATCGACTTCGCGACGAGCGGTGGCTATCCTTGTCCTTGGATGAAGAGTGATGACGCGAGGAGCTCTTGCTGCTTGACTTGGACGACGAGGATGACGATTTGTGATCCCTGGAGGAAGAGGAAGACTTGTGGTGGCGGGACGAGGACTTGTCGGACTTGTCAGACTTCCCAGAGGGCACGTCGAGAATGTTCAGCTCACGGCCGGTCGTGGGCTCAGTGGTGGAGGTAACACTAGGGTTGTGGGCGACATGGTAACCGTCGATGATGTAGTAATACCAGTATCGCTGGCCAGCCTCAAGGGTAGAGTTCTGGAAGCGGAAAGTTCCCTTCCAGGAACCAGACTTGGAAGAAGACTTGTCCTTGGAGAGAGGGAGCTGACCAACGTAGTTGTCCCAAGAGCCGAGAAGGTGCACGGCCTTGACGCCCGAGGAGACGCGAAGAGAGAAAGAAAGTTGAATAGCCGACATGTTGATTAGTCTTGTAGTTGACGATGCAATCGAATGACAAAGATCCTGAACAATTTGTAATTTGAACTTGGTTTGAGCGTCGGCGAGCAAGTAAAATCCACGGTATTCCGCTATTAGGGATAGTGTATTAAGGCGAGTAAGCAAAAAACAACAGCGAGGCAATAATGCAATAGCAGTAGTGAATAATTCGTCTCTCAAGCTGACCAGCAACTTAATGAGATTGAGTGTATGTGGTGAATATTGCAGGGCTTTTCGAGACGATGTATATTAGAATAGATAGAGACCAGCTCTACGATGGCTAAGGAAAAAAGGCAAAGGGAAAAGGGGAAACACAACACACAAACAGAAACGAGGATTTGAGTTGACAGAACTTGCTGAAGCAGAAAGGAAGAGAGAGAGGAAACGAAGGGGGTGTTGGCTCCATGTTATATGAACGAGCCGGCATCTCGTGCCTCACAGTCGGCTTCGACAAACAAACATGGCTGGCCATGGCCGCCTGGTCGACTTTTCCAGCTGCACGCTTGGGAGACATGTGCAGGAATGAAAAGACATGATGGCACTATTTACCCAGGCAGCCATCCAATGGGAGGTTGGACATGGGATGGACATGGGACCATGGGTCATACATACATACACAGAACTCAGTTCGCCCGACGATGTTATCACATTTCTTGTTCACGGAGTGGAGACGAATGCAGGCGAATGCAGGCGGCGCAGGCGAGAGAGACGCGAGCGGACAACAGTCGACAAAGGGCAGTCCCAGTCCGAAGAGGAGGGGATGAGGGGATAATCAGAGAGGCCGGCGCTTAAACGGTGGCAGGGGGACAACACGAAGACGCAGCACGATGCATGAAAGAGGCATCAAGACGCAGTAGCTTGCCGACAGACTGGTGATGGACGGACAGTGACTTGTCCGTGGTCTGAGGCGCCCAGCCAATGACGGGAGTTGTGCACACACGCCCATGGATGCCGGCGTCTAGACGAACCGCTTGATTGGGCCGGCGTCAGGGGGTGGGGACCGACGGGGCCCCCTCACGCCTTTTTTTGGTGCACTCATGTACCCTTGTTGCAACGTCACCCTGCACTTCCGCCAATGGGCAGGCACGCTCTTTCTACAGGCATGGACTTGCTCTTTGCATGTACCCCGCTTCCCCTCCAGCCAACCCTCGCGGCTGCTGCGAGCGAGCACTCGACCTTTGCGTCTAGTTAATGCATGTTGTAATATCTCTGCGGATTGGCCTCGATGGTATGCATGTCCAAGGACGGCGTAATATGACCGTCATCGGTGGTGGCATTTCTGCAAGGTATCTGGAGCACTGCCTTTACCGACATACATATGGGTGTCATGCGTCAGGAAGGAAGTACTGCAGACGCTGGGTCGAGACGGTGCGAGGAAAGACTCGAGGTACGCACCTGGCTAATGATGACGATCTCGAATGCATTGCATTGACCTTCCTCGTTTGTACTGCTGCTTCGTATCCCACTCACCTACTTAGTACCAAGCACGTACTTAAGTAGGTACAGGTATACAACTCCGGATAGCCTCGCACATAAAGACGTCGACCGCGGGCCGAAGATGCCACTACAATCAGAGAGTATTGTGTCCACGCGGCCCTGGACAAGACAACTGATGGCCCACGTGTCCGCCTGATTTCAATATGGAACTCTCCTATATGCATATGCTGGGCTCATGGTAACTATACTTGGACGTTGCTGTGCCTCGCGGAACCTTTGTCCCCCCGGCATCCCTTGTCACGCTCATTCAGGCATGGAAAAAATGGCAATGCAACTCGACTTCTATTTGGATACAGAGAATTATCTTAGCTAGCGGTAAACGTGTTGTTTCTCTCCACTCACACCCGCGGACTCTCCCGCTCTATGCGGCCCGCCTTTGTGCGCCGAGCTGATGCCGCTACGCACCCTCTCTCGACTATGCGGCATAAAGCAAGCTTACTGCGGCGCAAGTCATCGAACCTGATTCCTCAATTCTATATTATTTAGCGTCGGCGGGTATGTAAACAAGGTCACACGAGAGCAGAATACATACAGTGGGAGCTGTGCGCTTTGCCCCCTTTAACGAGTATCTGGGGTCTCCTGGTTCGTAAATATCCAACTTTGGACGGAAAGGTTGCATTGGAAAGAAAGCACATGACCGGAAGTACGCTGATATGTGCAGATATGGCCGGAAGGGCCTCGTAATTCCGGGATACCAAGAGTTCAATTTCTGGATTTGCAGACCGCCTGGCGCTTGCGTTTACACGAGTGGTGTCAGTTTGAGGGGAACAAACAGACCATGATGGCGGCATTTCCCGGGTTTCCAGCCAAGGCTATTTGATATAGGCTTTGGTGATCAGCATGGAATTGCGGAGCCTGACGATCAGTAGTGGGCTTATTATCCAAGAGATGTGTATGGCCGAATTGCCGCTTTTGCTCGGTGCGTGTCGAGGCGGCAGCCAAGAAGCTGCGGTGTTGACCTCATTACTATCCCTGGTGACTTTGGCACAATCACTAGTTACTAGAAGCTGATGGCAGAATTTGTCAGAAGGGTGACTCGATGAAAATACACAACAAGCTATGACAGAATATACTTATCAACAAGTTTACACTTACATACTGGACAATATTGATAGCCACCACACTGAAAGGGTATACTATTTGAGTGCTGCTACTATTTGGCTCTTATATTAATACCCATGGGCACTAAAGAAGGTAGGGCAGAGTTATTCATGCTGGCTAGCTGCGCCTCTCATTTCCATGTTTTATGCCGTGTGTTTGTCACCTTCCACATGGCCTGCTTCACTAGCGTTATGTTGAGTCCCTTTGCCTTCTGCGTTTTTTCTCACGACGACGAATGATGAGTGTCCTCACGGAGTAGATGTTCAAAAGATGCGTAGCCAACGGGTGACAATGTCGTTACTCGCTCAGGTCTTGCTATAAAGTATTCCTGGACTTGCAGAGGCCCCGGTTACGGATCCTAGTGAATCGGCACAATCTCGATCTTGTTAAGTCAACAGTTTCATGCCTGGTGTTGTCCAATTGGCTTCCGTGTTGCATACAACCCTACACCACACCGCATGTGTTACATGATAACTGTGACGACCTCTAGTGTTGAAGAAGCTCGAATGCCGGTCTCGGGAACGAAATGGATCGAAGAGTTGATTGCCAGCGGTGGTGAAAAGTCGAGTTGACGGTACTGCGTGTACCGATGTCCTTGAAGGGACTCTGGCTCACTCAATTGTTGAGGCCGACTCGACGGGTGATGATGGGGGTAGATTGGAGCAGATTGGACATGTTGGCCAGTACAATGTTGCTTTCTTGGTGGTGAATGATGGGAGGCTATCTCTAAGCACCAAAATCAAGGGCCAAGGCTCATGTCTCGCCACTATGCCTACCTTATGCACGTACATAGTGCATCCATACAGACATAAGTGAATAGTACACACTAGGCGTCGCTGGTACGCGTCCGGGGGCGCCTTGGCCCTTCACCGGCAACCGCCGCATCTCCCCACCCTGACGCCCCTCAGCAATCATTATCCAAGTCTTCGAGTCTTCGAGTCTTCGAGGCATCAGAACTTGCCCCTGCCCCCGGATCTAAAGGCAGGATGACCAGTTTGACGGAAGAGAAATGCCCGAGCACGCCGTAGTTAACAGGGCACGGCGGTTACGCCCCCTGCTCCCCTCAACGGGCTCCCGACTGGCACCGGCACCACCGCCAACGCTGCCTTCGAGGCCTCATTCTGCCGCCGCCGCTTGCACAGAGTGTCGTAAGCACAAGACCAAGGTATGTGGGCCAAGTCCAGGGGATGACTTCTGGTGCCTGCGCGGTGGATGATGACGGTTTTGCGTTTCTGACAGTGCTCCGCCGAACGGCCAGCATGTCGTCGGTGTGTCCAACGACGGATGGAATGCCATTACACCACGCAACCGGGGGAGAGACAGTCCCAGGCTCTCAAAAGAGCCTACAGCCACTTGCAGTACCAAGCTACTGCGCACGAAGAACTATTTGAGCTTTTGAAGACGGTGCCAACCCAGGAGGCCCACGACATATTGAACAGAATCAGACATGGAACTGATGTCGTCACCATTCTCAACCATGTGCGGGCTGGGGATGTCTTGGTTCAAATGGCTGTTGAGCCCGAGACTCGCTTTCGATATGAATTCCCGTACAAATCGGAACTCCCCCAAGATTATGTGCAACACAATCCTTATCTAGATTCCATCATCTTCGAGGCAACCTCACTCTATGCCACAGGCCAGGACTCGACACCTTCCGCATCCTCCACCACTAACTCTGCTCCCAATTCAGCATCTGGCGCATACGAGAGCCTCTATTTAAAGCCGTTTCATGCGTCTGAGGTTATCGAGCCCCAGCTCTCCAAGGCGAAAATATCGTGGTGGACCGCGGTTTGCCAGGACGATGTTCTCATGAGAGACTTGCTTCGCGTCTTCTTTCGCTGCGAATACCACTTCGCTGCCGCATTTCAAAAGGACTTATTTCTACAAGACTTGGCCGCAAGACGACAGGACTTTTGCTCAGCTCTACTCGTCAACATTATGCTTGCGTACTCTTGCGTATGATGCTCTCGAACTTCCTTCTACAAATGGGTCCTGTCTCACCGGATCACAGGTCTGCTACCCACGGTTCTCGAATCGCGCCGAGTACTGGAATCCCAATACGCTCGCCTATCGCTTTCTGGCTGAGGCGAAACGTATATGGGAGTTGGAAGCCACCGAAGCACGCATCACCACTATACAGGCCGGTATACTCTTCAATGTCTTCCATAACCTCTGCGGGTTAGACGAGATAGGACAGGCCTATAGAATCCAGGCCATTAAGTTGGCTCACCAACTTCGTCTATTCGACAGCAGCGTGTATATGCACGATCACAGAATGAGGAATGGCAGGGCATTCGCCGCATGGAGCTTGTTTAATTGGGAAACGTAAGTGCCAATGGTCTAGGATATGGTTCACCGGCTGATTTGATTCAGGCTTGTTGGATTTTCATTTCTGTTTCCTCCACTTTTGAAAACGCCCCCTGACTGGCCACTGCCAGATCCTTCAAAAGAAACGGGATTTTACGGCGAGGTCTGGGTCAGGTATCCGTTAACCCGTAGCCTTTCCCCATCCTCCTTTGGTCCAGTCTTCAAGGCGAGAAGCGAGTTTCGCATTATCATGAACGCATATTGTCAAGCAGCCTTTTCGGAAGGCTCGCAGGTAACCGTCGAGAAAGCCAACGGGTTTCTTTCGCGACTGAGATGCTGGTATGACGGCCTACCGGCACCGCTCCAACCAAAGACAATCGTTTTGCCTGGACACCTACAACTTCAGTAAGCTTTGTCCAAACCTAAATCCAAAACCAATCCCCAAAATATCATTTAAAATACATTTTGAAACGATGAAACGTCGCATATTTACATCATGAAAAGACGAAGTTGAGCTAACATGCAACGATGACAGCATGTACTACCATCACCTCATACTCACCATCTATGAACCGCTACTTGATGTAGCAACAGAAGGAGAACCAACGCCACAACAGATTGTCGACGACGCCAGAAAACACCTCCAGACCCTTGTCCGGCTCTACTATCTCCGCCATGGTTTTGAGGCCATGGACCTGTTCATCGTCGTACCACTCATGCTTGCAGGGTACGAGTGCATCGACGCTATTGGCGAGCAAGCAACCGGACCTCGACTTGAAGCCCTGCGATCGACTTTGATTCTCATTGCAAAGGGGCTCTATAACCAGCGCCGCAACCATTACTTGGCCGAGGCTTTGTTTCGGGTCATTCGCGGACGGATGCGGCAGGAAGAGCTTTCCTTGTTGAAAACCACAGTGAGGCTGGATGAGGACGAAGAAGATGAGAGGAGGCATATGGCACAGGCTGTGCGGAGCCATTGGCCTGTTAGTGTGGTCAAAAGGAAGGAGGATGTGAATTCACATATTCTGAAGAATCTGGTGGAGACTTATGCCCATTTGAACGTAGACGAAGAGCCTGCGCCGGCTGAGGATACCGAGTGACGTTGGGGCCGCTTTTGAGAGAAGGATCTGTAGTCTTGTTAATGGTCGACTGTATGGGATGCAGGGATGATTTGGATGGCCAATGAAGTGCTGTCCTCGAGAATATTCCTTGCAAAGCGCCGAGGAGTCTGTTATCCGTCCTAGGAGACCGACATGGTTGAAGAAAGCCATGCATTAACCGCCGCAAAAGGGCAAGTTCGCATTCGTGAGTTGCGGCAAATGTGCCATCTCATGCCTTGTTAGCCTACTAGTTGCGACATGGAGTTGTAGCTGTACAGGGGCTTTCTACGCACAGTTGGCAGGGCAGGGCGTATTACTCTACGCCTCTGTACATGTTATTGCAATGTCTAACAATATACTATATGAATTGTCTACTTGGTAGCTTTTCCGCATAGCTTGAGAGTATTGGAAAGTTCCGATGGAGTTAATGTCTCGGGATAAATACGTAGCGAGTCGAGTAGATCGAGTGACCGTGACCTGGCCTGGCTCAAGTGCAAAAGCCATCATCGCAGATTCTCATAGAGTTCCACTAGGTTTCCTCACTTAGATCTGAATATACACAAGTCCCAATGCTCAATTGGACAGACGCTATATTCTTCTTTCCATACAGGGATCTCTGATCCCAACCAGCAGTAAAATAACATGTGGGTGTCACTGGGCCTTGCATAATGTAGTGCTTGCACGATCATTTAAATAAGTCAAAAAACTGGAAAAAATTGAAAATGAATTGAAAAAAAAGAAAAGTAGTCTCCATCACCTCCAGTCCGATAGTCAATGCTTGCTACCATAAAACGCGGGGTTGAAAGAAGCTACTCGAATCATCCACCAATATCCCGAGGTATACTATTGGAAGTGAGTGTGGGCATGTTGTATCATGCCGGCCCGCACGTTTTTGCCAGGCTGGCTATCCTATGATAATTCGGGTTTCGAAGACGTACTTCTTCTAGGAATACTATGTCTACACGTGGTCGGATTGCGGCAGACAAGCTAATCTCTGGTGGAAGTGGAAGTTCTGGGGCTGTTCTTTCCTCGAATTCAAAACGCTTCCCTGCCAGGAAAAAACATACGTCAAACGGAAACTCCTGTATGAGCGTATTTATTCCAGCTTGAAATTCAGCTGTGTATATTTGTACAACTTCTATGGGGCGGCGAACCTCAAGGTACGGCTCAGAGGCCTATGATTCATTAGCAAGATTCAAGTTCTTTAGTCTGCTACTACAAACTCACTTGTAAAACCTCTGAGAACTTATTCATTGAATCAAGTGCTTTTCCAAGCGGGGACTGCCTTACATTCGAAGAGCCCCTAACCCAAAGATCCCGGGAAAGAACTTTAAGCCAGCAAAGCCACTGAGATGAGTACTCCCTCAAGAAGCCAAGTCCAATATCACAAAGCTCCTTGACGTTTTCGGGGTTCGTTTTCATTGCATCCCGTAAGTGGTAGAGCCAGAACAGGCCTGAATATTGTATAGAATAAGGAACTCCGTAACATAAAGGCGGGTCAATACCATTACTTTCCGACGTCCAAAGCATAATATCGGAAGTGTTCCGGCGCTCAATATCGATAGCTTTCAACCGAGACATGGCCTTGACTGAGTTTTTGGCAATATCTGCGTGCCCTTGCATTTTCTCGCTGAGAAGTTCCCCCCTGTTCCCTTCTAGCCATTCTCTAGCGGTGTTGTGGATGATGTTGATTTCATGTTCATCTTGTTCATGGCTGTAAGTTCGCACCAAGAAAATTACATTCTTCCACATATTTATACAAGTTGTGGTTCTCATCGTAGCCGAGAACTATGGCAAGCGTGTCCAAGTAAATCGGGAGACTGTATACAAGCGACACAGCCATCAGAATCTCTAAACAAGCTTGTCTCCGCTCTTGATCTAGCTTCTTGATTCTCTCAAGTTTGGAATCATACAACGCTCGTAGATTGTGGGGAAACCGTCCTATCTCGTTGATAGCTTGCTTACCAGGAGTTTGATCGAGGGTTCGGAATAGAAATGAGAGCCATAGTAGGTTGGTCTCCTTTCTCATTTTTATTTCCTGGCGCACTAGCTGTGGGATGTTCCCTGAATAGGTCTCACATCCAAGCTTAGACTGACACAGCTTCGATAGCCTGTGCTCGATGTATCGCTCAGCCAGATCCGCCTGGCATGAAATATGCAGCACCTGTAATATTTGTTGTTGTTGTTTTTCCCGTGAAGTCTCAAAGCTGACTTCTGGGCGGCTTGAGACTGGCCACATGATCTTTGGCGAAGAAATTGACTCCGAAATAAGTTGAAGCAAGTTGTCTAATCCCTCCTCACATTCGTCAAGCGCATCAACTAAGAAACACACCGGTCTAACTTCTTCACGGCTTATTGTTGTTTTGAAGAATCGAGATATAGTTTCCCATCCAAGCCCGTCTGTCAAAAGCGCTTCACCGCATATTTCAAACTCGCGTCGCAAATCATTGACGAGATGTGGCTGCTGGCTTAGAGAGAATCTAGTGAAACAGAAGTTAACATTTTATACAATTCAAAATCGATTCGTTCTGACTGATGACTAGCGCAGAAAATACGAAAGCAGGCTCCGGGATGATTAGGGCAATTGATCTCTCTAATATTCACGGGTAACTCTCCAAAGTATACAATACAACATACTTATGTGTCGTTTTCGGCATATATAGATATATCATACTGCCCAGGGTGCGAGTGTCTGGCGCGGAACCGAGTCAAAAGAGTTTTTGCCTCCCACTATTATTGATAGGCATGTAAACATTTAAGAACGGGATTATAACTCACGTTTAGTCCAACACAAATTCCAGCCCAAGGCAGCGCAGCAGGTGCAGTCTGAGGGATTTGAAGCACAGCGTCGACGATTGGTTTTACCGAAAGAAGAGTTCCCGCAACATTCCCGAGTGTTTCGGCAATCTTCTGCGATTTGAGGGCTTTTGCTTTGCCGTCTTCTACTAGCATTGACATGAACTTTTGTCGTTGAGTGTGGTCTCCAAGTTCGGCTTTGAGATTTTTGACTGCTGCTTGAGAGAGTCTAGGAACTGAACTGTCTGTTCTTTTGGAAAGCTCATGTCTGCCTAAAAGCTGGGTCAAATATTCTTTGTTTTCCTTGGCAGTGACATCTTCAAGCGTATTATCCAAGAGTAACTTGGCCAAGATCTTCAAATAGGCCTCAACGAGAGATTCTTCGTCTTTCGCCAGTTGGTCGAAAGCCTGATTCCAAAGATTCTGGGAGAGACTAAAGCTTTGCGTCGTAAATTCTGCCGACATCTTCGTTTCCGGGGCGGTCAGAGATGCCCGGATCTCATGGCTCGTCGGGACAGGTTCAGCTGACGCCGTGGCCGCACCATCCTGTTGGGGGTGATGCCCACTGAATGCATTTTTCGACTTCTTGTGCCGAGGCATTATAAGCCAGAATAACCTGGTCCCAAGAGCAACATCGATATATCGTGTTATGTTGTTGTGATTGCGATATACTATAGTAGACCGCAGTAGATGATGATACTGTACTGTGTGGTAGACGGGAGCGTTGCTGAAGTGATATACCCCTTTTTCTCCAAACTGCGAGACAAATATGTTCCTAAGGACGAGAAGCATTGCTGCCCAACATTTCAGCCACCCCACCATTATCTGACAAACACGCAAGGGAAGAAACATCGCCATGGTTGCATGCACAAGTTGTGTAACTTTAACAGCCTTGTTTATGTGTTGTCAACCAAAAAGATGCAGCGGCATCTGATGTCCTTGGGCTTGCGAAAATTTTCTACTTGCTATTCTTCCTGCAATATCCTCGCACCTGCAGTCAAATTATTAGCATTTCTATTATTACGAATATGAGGTGGCGAATCGATCGCAGTCGAGTCATTCGGCACTATCTCAGCAAGCCTCATTACGAGAAACTGTGTAGAGATATCCGCCCACTTTGGTACGAAACCGGTAGGAGACGCGCCTGGTCGACTGTTCTACTACAATGAGTTGAGACGCCATCCCCAGGAACCAGTTGCGGGAATTGCAGAGAGCCTCTCATTACTGATTGGGCTGGGACGGAGGAGCAGCTACCGGTCGGCGGTTGAGTTAAATGTCGGTGTATGCCAGTGATAGAACGGAGGCAACCTAGAGATACTATTGTGTGGATGAACGTTGGCGCTGTTCCACAGGAAGCAAGTCTAACATGCAAAGAATTGCAAAGAAACACTTACAAAATAAATCGTGATAATGCTGGTCTAACCACGTGAAAACGCGTCGCGTCGAATCGACCCTTCGTTTGACCCCGCGATGCGCGCCCATCATCAAAAGCGGCAACCGCAACCACCTCCTGATCATTTACGCGACTCGGAAACTATGCTTAGAAATTCGATCGCCGGATTGGCCAGGACACGTATTCCGTAGCTCATTTTGGAAAGTGCAATCGGCGTCAACCAGCTTCTCCCCATCTCCCAACCGCATTCTGCTCCGCAGGCGGTCAAATCGCAACCCAACATTTTGAACACAGACAAAACCACACAAAGCCCCAAAATGGCGTCAGAATTCACCGTCGACGACGGCCTCGTCGCCAAAGTAACCAACTACGTGGAATCCTACATGGCAAACTACGACCCGTCCCACGACTTCAACCACATCCAGCGCGTCCTACGCCTCGCCAAACACATCCAAGCCACACTCCCCGGCACTTCTCTCGGCATTGTCACACTATCCGCACTGCTCCACGACGTCGGCGACAAGAAGTACCTCAAGCCAGGCGAGGACTCGTCCCGTCTCGTCTTGGACGTGCTCCGCTCCTTTGGTGCTTCGGAGCGCCTCGCTGAAAAAGTACAAGCAATCTGTCTGGGGGTCAGTTACTCGAGCGAAGTAAAGGACCCGAGCAGGGTGGTGAAGCTGATAGAGGAGCATCCCGAGTTGGCGGTTGTCCAGGATGCGGATCGGTTGGATGCCATTGGGGCGGTGGGAATAGGCAGAGCGTTTGCGTTTGGAGGCGCCAAGAACAGGGATATGGGCAACACGATTGAGCATTTCGAGGAGAAGCTGGTGCGGCTGGAGGGCATGATGAAGACGGATGAGGGGAGGAGGCTGGCCAGGGAGAGGACAGAGAGGATTGTGTTGATGCAGAAGTGGTGGAGGGACGAGACTGAATCATGACATGGGTTGCGGATGGGGAGAAGGATGTAATATTTGGTGATGAGAAGGAGATGGTGTACCAATAAAAAGTATGGTTTCATGAGCAATGGTTTGGGATTTACTAATAGGTGATGCCATGTCCGTCATGTAGCGGTTTAATTGTTGCCCACATTATTATATATTTACCAGTGTGTTGTCATGTTAGTTACATCCCTCTGAAATAAACCCCCGATCTCGAATTGCATGCCTCCTCCGCGCAGGTAGATTATATACGGTGAGAACTAAAACACACGAACCATGCTAAAACTATCTACCTACCTAGGTAGGTATTTAATGTAAGTTACAAAAAAAAGTACCAACTGTCGCGACCTTTACATGCCCCGGTGGCTAATCCTTGTCAACCCACCCTCGATGCAACTGGATCATGCGTATTCCCGAGCGCATCTACTTTTAGACAACCACAAATACGCCATGCAATCGACTTCAGCAACACCGAAAAGAAAGAAAAAAATCATTGTGAACATGGAACGCACTTATAGGCTATCAGCTACGTAAGGTTTCTAATATTCACCTTCAGTTGTAGCCACCATCAGACAGCGACAACGCAACAGCCACTCTCGCACACCAACGTCCAAGATTCCATAGTGCACAGTGCACACTGGCCGCCAAGAGCCGGCCCATCGCCTCATGCTCGTCTCCATGAGTCCATGACCATCACAGCTCTCCCCAACACATGTACTCCGTATCGCCACGCATTCATCTTCACCATAGAGATGGATACTCAACGGGCAAGCCTTCAACACCAGTCATCCGATGCTTATTCCACCATGTATTAATAGCGACCCGAAGCGCCCTCTTCCGCAAATCACACAGATCCACGCAGCCACATTGACATCTATTGGGCCATTTTCCTCGCCCTCCAAAGGCCATGCATGCCGAGGCGCACACTCGTCCTACAAACAAAAGACCATGTGGCAGAAAAGGCGTGGTCATGCCAAAAATATCACTCACAAGCACTACATTGTTTGCCGTGTATCTATTGGCGGAGCAGGAGGGAAGCTCCAATGCTGGCATGGCCCGTCCAGCCAGGCTCGTAAGTCGTGAACCTTGACGGTTGGCAACCTCGGGGCCATAACGTCTACATCCAGACCCTTCATCACCCCGTCTGCCTGCCAATAGCAAAATCCCTTCTATTCACTTCAATCCTGTACGTCTCTCTCTTCACCCTTTGTTTTCTGGCGTCTTCAAAATCCAGGCGGCAGGTGCGTCATATCCGCCCAAAACACCATCCACTTACACGCCATCACGGCGTCGCCAAGTGCGACATCCCAACCCCCCAGCCGCCACAATCCAAAGAATGGACCTCCTGCCCTCTGAGATCCTCCGCGAGATCCTCTCCCACCTGCCTCCGTCCTCTTGGCCCTCGGCGCGCCTCACATCCCGCCGCTTCAACGCCGTACTCGCCCCGCAGTCGTTCCCGTCCGTCCCGTCCTTCATCGACCCCGGTGCCGCGCTTCTGAAGCTCGAGTCGGGCGCTCGCCGGGCGCGGCGCCGCCGGGTGACTTCTATTTGGTCCCCGAGCTGCTGCGTGCCCATGGATATACCTATTCCGCAGAGCTTCCTGCTCGCTGCCTATGTTGCCTTTCGCTGTAGACAATGGCGGCCGTTTGCTGAAAAGACGGGCAGGACCTCTGGAGAATGGGATTCGGATAGCGGAATCGGTATAAGTGAGGATGATGTGGGCTCCGAGTCTCGGGGGCTGACGGTTGACAAAGTGGTCCAAGATCTGCAGAGGGACGACGTTACCGAGGAGAGCTTGAGAGCGGCCATGTTCCGGTATGCCCTGTACTTGAGTTATTTGTATCAAGGGGCTGGAGAGGCGCCATCGTTGTGGGTGTTTAATAAGAATATGTGGCCGAGTAAAGAGTGACGACACATGGAAGGAATTGCATGGTTTGGATACAGATGGTTCATCTTGGAGTCTGGGAAATTATCAAACGTCTTTGAGCATTAAGGATGGTGATGGTGTTTAATGTTTGTATATACTGGCGTGGAGCCTGGTGCTACTTGTTGCTAAACCTGAAGGTTGGCCACTGTAAGTTTGGGTATTCTTCTTGCATCATTTCCGTGTCATTCGCCTCCGCTACTGCTGCATTGCTCGTATCAAGCTTCCATTTGTGAAATTCTTTGCTTTGGCTAAACTCATTATTCATATTTCATGTCGGTCCCTCCAGGAGTTTGGGCATCCAGCTTTCCATCAACAGGCGCACAAATGCCTGGAACAACGTGGATACTAGTTTAGAACAAGAAGGCAGCGAAAAGGGCAGCGGCTGCGAGGGCTCCAATGACATGGTTGGTGCTGGCACCAGCAGTCGGGATAGCCGTGTCGGAAGTGGTATGAGACGTCGTATTGCTGCTGGGCCTTCCAGTGGGAGTAGCAGTGCCTGTAGGAGCAGGGCAATCATCGGATCCGGTAGGCGACCAGGTACCAGTCGAGGTACGTGTCGGCACCGTCGGGTTGGTCGGCTCACTGTGAGTGGTATGGGGGACAGTGGCAGTTCCCAGGCTGGTGCCCTCCGGGATGCTCATGACTCCTGATGTGGAAGTGCTGGATGAAACAGGACCTTGTGTTGTCGAGGTTCCCACGGAAATGCTAGCGGTGTGAGTAGGAGTCCCAAAGGTAGGGGACCTGGGAACCTCCGTCGGGATGTACGTAGGGTTACATAGGGCGGCGGGAATGGTGTATTGAGTTGGATGATAGACGACGCACTGGTCAATAGATCAAAATGTCAACGCATAACCTTATCCCCATGCATATTTGGCAAGACTTACGGCCTTTTGGCAAGCCGCATCGTCGGCGTCTTTCGAACTCTGCCAGCACAAGCCAATTCCACTTGCAGGAGGCGATGGAATAAGACTCTCACGACAGAAAGTGCGAGTGCCAACCTTGTTGGCGTCGCATACCACGAGGGTCGTGTCATCCAAACAGAAGTTGACGTTGGGTTTCTCACAGGCGATCTTGGCATCAATAGGAATGCCTCCGTTAGGAATAGCAGAAACAACTGCAGCAGCAGCAGCGAGTGCAGCAACGGCAGTCTTCATGATGGGCGATATGAGACGGGGCGACAAAGGGAGTGATGTGCCAGTAAGTGAACGGGCCGTCTCTTGAGTTATTACTTTACTCAAGCTTTAAGAGAAGGAAATCCGAACAGAGCCGCCACAGGGTGTTGTGAGTCGGAAGCGAATGACAAAGTTGAGAATAGAGGTTTGAGAGTCATGCGATGGCAGTTCGAACCTCTTATAGCAAACTAGGACATGACCAGATCTGTTGTCGTACACACGGTGCTACGTGCCAACTACGGAGTATGGTGATGGTGATGTGGCACCGGGTCACCTGCATGAATTAGTCTCAAGCGCAAACTAGCAAACTTCGAAGCACAGAAAGTGCCGGGGCCGGTGAGGTCACACCCAGCAAGGCTGGTGTTGTCTCAATGTCAAGGGAAGTCGGCAAGGTCATCATCTCGGCCAGTCTCAGCGCACCGCAGTCGAAAGGCCCGTCTGGAGTCTGGACTTGGATGGTGCTGGGGACAAAACCCGTAAAAAAGACCACGTTGGGTATCGAGAAACTAGGGAGGCATCCTACAACTGAATTGTTAATGGACTAACGATTTATTACCGCCGTGAAATAGCCACAGTATTTGCTTGATCGGGCTGCAAAGACACGGACGATGGGCTTGACAGGTGAGCTGTGTCTGGCCGACTTTGAGGCCACGTTCCATCCGCTGGGATCAGTCTGCGCAGATACGAGAATCAAATTCTGTTTTTGGAGAGTGACGGTCGAGTATTCGGCGAAATGGCATCGACCAATGCTAGAGCCTCAGTATGGCTCCTGTGGCAGTGTCTTAAAGATGCAGAGGCCGGTCCAATTATCAAGACAGATGATGGATGGATGGAAGATGTAGGAAGTCGGTCTGGGTTGGCGCCAGAGACGTTAAACCCGTTTGGTCCGCCTCAATGTTGGCAGAATGCAACCACAGGTTGGTGGCACCTTCCCGCTAGTTCATGGTGCCAAGTGCGCCGGCCCAGTGCTGTTTCCACTGGTACTAGCTCGAGAGCATGACCATGCCTTCATGCCGTCATAGGGTCACTTTTGTCCTCCTGATGAGATTGCACCTGAGTACGAAGGAATGCCACCTGGAGTTTATGGTGTTTATCTTTTTTTCCTTTTGCGCCCTACCGCCTCTTCTTTGTGGATGCAAATATTTGCCGTGACATTGCTACCATTTCTTGGCTCCTCCCATGCTCCGATGATCTCGTTGTTTTCTACCCCTGCGGAACTGACATTACCAGCGAGTGCAAATGCCGATGCCACTCATGGAATACGCCACCCGGTGCACATGTTGGCCACCACATTGTCACTCGTGCCTTTCTCTTTTCTTGCCTTCACGAAAAGCTGTCCTTGATACTTATACGAGACGCAGGGACCCTTGCTGTCCTCCCTCCAGCCCACATTCTCCGGTGCTGTTTCAACTTTCTACTACCCAGGTCTCCGTGCACATCCGGTGGCTTGTGAACCCCAGACTCTGCTTCTTATGATTGTCTCTTGCTCAAAGATAGTAATATGGTCGATAGGGCTATTGCCATCTCTTGGCGTATCCGGCGAGCTCGTGGGTTCGAGGGCATATCAAGTCACGCCCAAGCGTCCGCAACAGGTATGCCAACACTCGCAAACTGTAACAGGACATCGCTGCTCAGCTTTTTTTACCACATGTTCACGACCCGATACGACCTCCGGAGTGGCCAAAACCAAAACCAACCTCCAAGAGACTGTTGTACTTCACCTGCGTCTGCCAGAAGGTGAAGCACCGCATGGTCACCAATATCCATGTTACATCTCCTGCAGCCACAGCCCCCTGGAGACGTGCCTTCCAGGGCCATCTTTTTATTCCCATCTCTGCTTCTGTTGAACCCGCTCTGATTCATATGCCTCCTTCGACAATTCATAATGGCCCGTGTCGAGACCGCGCCATTCGCGGCAGCCAACGACTCAGCCGCTGTAAAACAGCACGGTGATCAAATGCACCTTTACATCACACAATCCCGTTTCCATAATAATAACCTGTCCTCAAGTAAAATATATGAAGTCGCTATCAGATGAAACCAACCCGTCTTGACTCCTCAGCGAGACAAATCCATGCCCGCGATCCATGTAGCAACCCGTCCGCTTGTTCCACCGCAACATACACGACAACTCTACCAACGATAACGTCTTGTGTAACCGCTCTTGGACACAGTTTCCATACGTGAGCCCTGGTAAACTTGCTTGGTACCGCCTGCCTCGAACGAATCCGCTTTCTTAATCCATGGGTGCTGGTCGGTCTCCTCCAACCTACTTGTAAGATGCAAGTAGTCGGCAAGTTTCTGACCTTCTGGCAAACATCACGATGCGCACCCCAAATATTCACAATTTGTTACGTTGTTCATTTTTCCTTCTCGAGTTTGCTAACCTTGACCTATTGTAGAGAGAAGGGGGGGGGGGGCACTCGAACCATCGACCGCTCCTCGCACAAGGTTGTACTGTATGTCCATGCCCTTCGAGTCTATTCTTGTTCCATTCGGAACGCAATATGGGGTGGCAGTCTAGTGGTTGTGCAAGAGCTGCGGTGCGAGCATGGAGATTCCCGACGATGATTCTTAAAGGTTTACGAGACTGGGCGCATATCCTTGCGACGAGAGAGCCATGTGCTGCCTTGAGCCTTTTTGTTTTTTTCCTAGGTTACTCTCACATCCATCTATTGTGTAAAGTACGTTGCATCCATAACCCTCGGTGAACGTGAAACTATCCAGGCACTGTATTCGCCATCTCTGCACTTCCTGTCTTTGTCAACAGCTGATTCTCGTCCACCCCTGTTCCGTTAACGAATATGTATGTTTCATCGAGGGTTTTCTTCTCTGCTTGGAAGAGGCATCACCTATACCATGTAGCACATTGCAAGCACCCCCATTCTGTGCTTCAAAGCAACGCATTTAACACAAATTGCGGCCTACAGCGGCCCAATCCTGGCTAAATCTCTTCTCCCGTAGTTTTTGTCGTCCCTCATGGAGTTTGGTCTACACCAGCCAGGACAAAATGCTCTCTCGTCCACCCAAATCGCCGGGTCAACCGGCGGCCAATCTCGGAACGTAGCATAATAGGATCAACCTTTGGAACTGGGTGAGGGCGGTGGAATATAATGGTTTTGCTGATCGTGGTGCCTTGGTCGTCTGGTGAGCCATGCAATTCGAACCGGACTGCCGAACCGCCGCAGCTGCTTACTATAAAGCCGGCGTGGTTCATGGAATGCACGAACTCATCCCACTTGATCGTTCTACATCTTTCTTCAGATGACATGGGGAACATAAGATGGAATATCTCAAGATAATGTTTTGGAACTGCTCTCTTTTTGACAATCGGCTTCTCTGTGGTGCTGTTATCTTCCGTGGCAGGTTCCGACCCAGCTCGTTCAGTGCTCCTAGTCTTGATTTTGTCCGAAGCAGTCGCCACTTCAATGACTGGTTTGCAACTGTTGGAGCTGGAACTGCCAAAATGCACGAAAGGGCTTGGTTCGGGCTTGGTTCGGGCTTTGTCTCGGCTGTTTCTGTGAAGGACGCCTCTTCGATTTGTATGGAGTATGCCGCCAACAATTTTGCAAAGTAAAGTCATCAAATGTGCCTGCGCCTCCAGGACCGAAGATGCTTGAGGAAAGTCGAGAATGTTGCGGGAGACGACATCATGGTCACGCTGCACAATTGACCCATAACATGCTTCCTCCATGGATATAGATTTGTCTGAGTGTTCGAGTTTGAGGTATTCATGTTTCCAGGGCTGACTTAGCTGATCCGCGTCAAAAGATGCCCACTCGTGCGGATGGTACTCGGTTCGAACGTGTAGCAAGGCAAACAATGCGGATACGCTGGACGTAAGCCGGTTAATACTTAACCACGGCAATAAAAACTGCTTCCGCATGACGCTATCTCTGTTGCCCAAGTGAGTGACGGACGAATTATACAGGCATTGCATGTCCACTGCTGTCTCGTTTGCAATGGGGGGCTGGATTTGTTCGAGAACTGCCCGGCGCTTGACTTGGCTCATCTTCTTCCACCGCGACATGATAGTGTCCCCATGATTCTCCAGCGTATTCTTTAAGGAGGCTCTGGCAATAATGGCGTCGTTGATGAAACCGGACAGCAGAGAGCGAACTTCGTCGTCATTGAGCGTGCGGGTGAACTCCGAAGCTGGCGTAAGAGTCTGGATCTCGTATTCGAACTGGATTTGGCAATCTTCGCAGGGACAATTTGGTCGGTTCATGCGATGACTCGCACCACTTGTGGTGATTCTGGAGCGCGATTCCATCGGAAGAGTGTCGTTGTCATGCGATGAGGACCGAAAAAAAAAAATACTCTCTGGGCTCTAAAATTTTGTTGCTGCTGAGGATCTTTAAGTAAGTGGCTTGGGAAGAATCCGGTCCATGCTGTTTATATTGTCGGAGCTGGGTGAAACGGGCGAGAGAAAACTAAGTAGAAAGTGACATGAAAGTGACATGAAAGTGAGACGAAGCATGTGTCTCGTTCACCACAACCAGTGCAAACGCAAACGGAGGTGCAAACCAGGTTAAGCAAAGATCATTGGCTGACATTTGAAGATCGAAGATGTTGGTGATTATTACTCAAAGACAGGTAATTTATGCGCGAAAAAATTACACCCGCCCTCTTCTATCAATATTAGCATCATGATTCCAAAGAAGCATTACTTGTCCAAAGCTGTCGCCCATTTGCCAAGGTAAAGATAGTGCCATGCAAGATGCCGCTCCCATACAGAGTACCTCAGGTACGGTTTGCAAATCGGCCCCCTTAGCCATGACTCCCAGGGCATAATAAAGGCCCAATTTAATAGGCCTTTCGACATGGTGAAGAGCGAAGTGTACTAAATCATCTCAAGCTGTTGCTGGTATATCGTACATTCTACCTAGATGCATCGGTAGTGGATTGCATTGTGTATGCTCCGTACGTGGCAATAAAAGTTTACTTTATTTGTTTTCAGATAATGCAACTGTTCTTTTGAACTCACTTGATGCCAGCCTAGTATACCGAGGTTTTCAAGTCCAAAGATTCACACGAGAAGGAAGGGGCGCTTAGGACGTGGAATAGAACAATGTCATTCAGGCCAGGCGTCTTATATGTACCATAGGTTCCAAGAACGGCAAAGCAAAGCAGGGTTGGATTGCATCAGCGCATCACATGATCAAGCGCGGGGCGCAACAGCACGGAGGCTTGACAGCGTTATCGGCGCCGGTGGGAAGACGGACAAAGTGCAGCGACATGTCCCAGCAGGCAGGACTCACACTCACAGGAGTGCCACGAAACCTACTCGGTAGGTCGACTTGAAAACATTTGATACGTTGCTGCTGATGGAGGTTGGGTGCTGCGGAGAGCCTCGTGCCAACCTAGTAACGTGACCGGACTGCATCAAAGCGCAAGGGTTGGATGCAGAGTGGTAGAATGGTGGAGGAATTCACTCGTATTGAACAGAATGTGGGTGGTTGGCGAGTTGGGCATTCCCTATGTAGTTTAGTACCGAGTATGAATAGTCGGTAGTGTATTAAGTTACCAATGCGAGGGCAGAACAGGAAACCAGAACGCAGGCTGTTGACAATGTCGCTCAGCGTACTCCGTAGTGACATATTGATATGACACGGCATCCTCGGGGGCTGTCTGCCGCTAGTCCATATCGCTGATAGGACATTTGGAGTTTCAATGTTGAAAAGTTGCTCAGCGACGGTAATAAGGGATAGAAGGCCCCACGCGTCCATATTTTCTCGGTTGTCGCTGCTCTCTTTTAGCTAAAGTCTGGGTTGGATCGTGATGGTTGATGGTGGAGGATGGTGGAGGATGCTTGGCTGGTGGTGTCCATATGCAAAGAATGCCAGAATGGGGTGGGAAACAGTTGAAAGTGTCGTCCGCGAGAGGCATCGAGACGCAGAACAAGGGGCAATCCGTTGTACTCGGTAATACGGAGTGATCTGTATTTGTTCTTGGGACGCTCCAGCCACCTGGTTCGCCTCTCCCTGGCGTTGGAGTTGCGCAAGCCTTGTCCCTCCACGGTTCCACGTTTCCGGGACTCCGGTTGAAGGGTGTCCAGGCAAGAGTCTGGTAAAGGTCAGTAAATGCTCACAGGGGCCGGTCAAGTGCGCTGTTACCAGATGTGCTAGCGTGCTAGCTCCGCACCTACCACACCAGCTGTGGCGCCGTCGGCTGGTCCACTCGCTAATCAGTCAAATGAAATTCGCCTGCAAACCGCGTAGTCTTCCGCGCCGTCCCGCGCGGCCCTGGTGGCGTCAGAATCTAGCCTTGACCTCTGGATGGCCGTACAACCAGTTTGTGGGTAAGCATTTGGCATTGAAAGCGAGGGGTGGAGGTGGCGGGTGGAACTGGCGGGTGTGAAACAATGTCATGACAGACGGGTGGAGGTGGCTCTGGAGTGGAACTGGGCTGGAGGAAAAGCCTATTCGTCATTTTCAGGCCAGGCGTCCTGGGGTGAATTGCTCGGCGAGCTTACTCTTTTTGCTAGGTGCACTTATTATTATTATTTTACTTATCAAATAGCTTATAAGGCCTTTTTAATTATAAAATATTCTTAAGTAAATAAGTTTTTTGTAAATTATTTAATAATTAAAAAAGTATTATTTTAATATATTTTACTTAATAACTAAGTACTAGGTAGCACGTCAGCGCACCTAGCAAAAAGAGTAAGCCCGCCGAGCAATTCATGTCCTGGAGGCTTCAGGACAGGCACTCCAACGGGCACTACGGGCAGGGAAGCGGGACCCGCGCCGTCTGGTCGTTTGAGTCGATGTTCCTTCCCTTGCGACCCTCTTCCTCCTTCCTTTGGCTGGCATACCCCTCTGCTAACGGCATCCAATGATGTGCAGCGGACGAAGCCATGGGCTAGTTGGCAAGCACCGTTTCCTCCCTCCCTGCTTGCTTCCTTCCTTCGCCAGGCCGCCCACCTGCGCAAAGTGAGGGTGACCATGAAACTGTGACTACTCCGTACACACATGACATATCAGCCAGCACATTGCCGGGCAAATAAATATCTGCCTCCAATCTGCATTGGCACGCCGGCTATCGCCGCGACCATTGTGCTGCGCCGCCTCGCTGGGGCATTTGGCTCGTTCTTCTTCGTATCCCATCTGGCTGTCGTAACCCCCGTCCCACCTCGGCGCACGGCAGGCTTGCAAGCATCATTGTTGGAATCACCGCCCCTCACTGGCTGCTCGAGTCTTTTTTCTCACTCCCATCTCCCGTCTCTCATCTCTCACCTCTCACCTGGGACCTCAGGACCCGCCGAGTCACATTGCACCCATATCCGCATCCCAAACCTGTCTCGCCCCTATCCACCATCATTATCGCATACTACATCCCTACTTACTTGCTTCCATGCAATGCCCCGGGAGCCCCTTTAATATTACCTCTTGTCTAGTCTTTGCTGCTGCCTTCGACGCGCTTTAGACCAGCCGGACATCCATCGCCCATCCAAGGTCACCCTCGCGCGGCGGCAGCTACCCAGTTTGCTTCATGTTGAGCCACCTGTCGCCAGAACCTTCAGTATGCACAGAATCCCTTGTTTCAAGACAGTCACCACAAGAGAATATTATTTAAATCTCTCTGTCCCTGCGTCTCCTCCCCCCACTCGTCGAGCATGCTTAAGCCGAGTGCCGTCATTTCATCGCCCGCAATGACGGCACCGACACTACCTGATTATGACCAAGGCCTCTTCGAGGCGGGCTCAAATGCTCAGCGGCAGTTCAAAAAGCGCAAGGTTCTGCCTCGCCCACGCAATGACCGAGCTGTTGACGATTCTCCATCAGTGCCCGCGGCCTGCGACCTACACATCGACACATCAGCTCTTCCTGGTCCCCCAGACTCTCAAGCCTCCAGTCCACGAACTTTGAAGCATCAACCGCGGAGAATCGGGACTGGCCCTGATTTACCCCCTACACCCCCAAACTACTCTCGCGCCTCGTCGGGAAGTTATCCAGCCCAACCATCTAGTCCTCCACCTCTCGACACCGTTGTTCGAACACCCCAAGCCTCGTCAAAACGACCACCAGCAACGCCGCCAGATCAACGTAGTCCTCCGACGCCTGATGTGACGCCGCCTCAGCCTGCCAGCCGACCACGCGCTTTACGTGCCGCAACTTTTGATCGTTCTCGAACTGCAACCATCACAACGGATTCGCGCACCGAATCGTTCAAGACTGCCCGAGAAGAACCGCTTTCGTCTGAGGACGAAGCCGCCATGTCAGCTGTAAAAACCATTGTGACTTTGTCAACGCCATCGCAAACTACAGTTTCTCGAATACCCGTAAATGCCAGTAGTCATACCGTCAAGCCTCAGGCTTTGGACCTTGCCCTCGAACGCCTAAGTGTGAAACCTGCCGAGGGCTACAATCCCCCGACTCACGGCGAACTGGCTCAGTTCGATGGCGAATGGAACCCCCCAAATCGGGTAGAGCAAGAATGGGATAACAATCTCGAAAGAATGGTATCTGTGGGCAGACGCCGTCCCCAGCCTGTTCAGCCAAGGACCACTCGGGCGACCTCGAGGAAGAGCGCGGCGATAGAAGATAATATAATCACCCCTACAAATGCGACAGAGGCTGTCCGAGGCATGTCTTTTCAAAATACCGCCATAGTCAAGCCGTCGCCCAAAACAATCCCTCAGAAAAAGCGCGCAGAATTGAACACAGCACAAAAGGAACTGAAGGGAAATATCGAGTCGCGAAGATCGTCCGGTCTCTCTTATCAGTCTTCACCTTCCACCGTGATTGGAGCTATACTGGTGGATAGCCAAACCCCGCCTCAAAGACAGAAGACTTTACGGCATGTTCGCAAGCGAAGAGAACTCAGAGAGACAAGCCCTTGTGGTCGAAGGGCCGTTGCAGACGTGTTTGAATTGCAGGATCATACATGGCCATTTTCATCTCCGTCGCGAAATGAGCCTTCCCGGCGACATGACAGCTACACTTCCACAGCTACCACAAAACCATTACCTAGTGGACGAGCCAGACGTGAAATATGGAAGAATGGCGGCATACCTGTAGTGGTCATTCCCGATCGAAGGTCATCAAACAAGTCAAAGTCAAGAGAACCTTCTTTGCGGTCCACATCAAGCCGACATTCCAGGACTCGAAGCGTCGAGTCCTCTCCTCTTGATCGGTCGCCGCTTCCAAGTGAAAAACTGTCTTTCGAGAGACAATCGCGGTGGGACCGATCTACGTCTTTGTCAGAACGGTCGGAGCAGAGAACCATTGATTTTCCACCTACTATCCCGGCCCGCTCGTCGTCACTGTCAGCCCCGACAAGCCGCACTACCTCCCGGGCTGGCTCTCTGACTGCCGAAAGTCTTAAGGCTTTGAATGATGTACATCGCCAAATTACCAAGACATTACCGTCTCAAGCTATGCCTATAGAACCGCCAACGTCTTCTGCCACGGTACGAGCCATACCGACACTGCCAGTGCCACCAGTACCGACATCACCCGTCGTGACAGTGCACTCTCCGCAGACTCCTAGATCTGAAGGGGGTGGATTTGCAGCCGAGCACCTTGGCACAGATCATCACGATGATGCAGCGTCAGCAAGGAAGTACTCATCTCGCACGACGCCATTCTCCATAGTATCAGTAGAAACCAATTGGACGGCCCTCGAAGTATCTGAAGCCCAGGCTGTTCATATGTATCCCCACCAAAACTCATCAGTTTTGATGGTGAATCATTCTGCCAAGCACTCAGATGCATCTGACTCTACGGAGAAGGGTCTCAAGACGGTCAAGTCAAATGAGCCCCCGAAAATCACAGCTACCAGCCCCGAAGGCGGCCTCGTGACGCCTGAACAACGACAGTCATCGGAAGAAGTTGATTCTCCTCTTCGAAACCCTCGTGCACCGCCGGATCCGCCTGTACTCCCACCAGCGATCAACTTTATTCCCGCCACGCCATCTGGTCTAACACCTGCTAACGAAAAGGCAGAGCCAACTGCAGGTTTTTATGAACCAGAGAATGAGAAACCTGGTCGAAGATCGTCAGTTGTTCTGAGAGCCCTAAGCCGACGTAGGCACTCCATAGGTTATCCTCCCAGTGCTTCAAAGCAACCCGGCTTCCTAACGAGAACATTTTCTCTCTCACGAAGCCCCCGGAAGTCTTTCAACTCGCAAGGGCCCAGAAGTATCAATCCCGGCATGGATCCATCTTACGGGAAAAGAGAAGATGAACCTATGGAACAAGACATGCTGCATCCTCACTGGCGCCCGCAGTGGGATAATGAGGAGCTTTGTGATTGTGCAGATTGTCGTCGCGGCAGTTGGTTCGACGATGAAATTTATCGATATCCCCCGGTTGACAATCGACCACGTCCCACGAAGCGCAGTCTGAGCACCAAAATGAAGCAGACTTTTGCGATCTTGCCATCCCGGACTGAGAAACAATACGAGGCCGACGACATGCACGGGCCTCAACGCCGCACAGTCCAACGAACACCAAGTGGGAATTTAAAAGTAATGCGTCGCAAAGCGAGTTCTGAATCGCTGAAGAAAGTTCAGAATGCCTACTATGATCAGCGGCCTGTATCAGAGGGTAACTCGCGGAAAGGATTCTGGCGCGGGCATTCTTTAGGGAACCGGCCAAGTTATGGGAAGTTGCGCCGCTCTTCTTCGCTGAGCAGCAGACTCGAAGGGCTCCCAAGCCTGACACGAATGTGGAATGAGAGGCGACGAGAGAAGCGTACACAGGAGCTTCGACAGATGATTAGTGGACCGAGGGAAGTTCGAGATGGTGTTGGCGATGTCATCAGGAACAGCAACATTACAGGTCTACAGAACAGATATCCTGATCAAATATAGACGAAAAAAGGTGCAAGGATTCAAGGATCGGTCAATAATGATCAGTGTGGAAAGGGTGAAAAATCGAGGGAGCGGTCGGGGACTCCCCATCTCGATGAGAGGACGCACACACCTTGCACGAAAGTACAAGTTACGAATGCCATGACGTTGACGGTTTATGATTACGGTGAAATTTTCTGGGAAAGGGTATATCCAGCTTACTTGGTATGGGCATTGGGCACCCGGTGTTTGATTGAGCTCGTGCAATGATGATTGCGAAATTGCGGAATGCTGATGAAATGTTGTGAGTTTGATTTCGGTGCGTATTTTCTTATGACCTTTTTTTTCTTGTTGCAAATTATTTTACCTTGAACGGTCGTATATTGCCTTTGGTGACTGCTGCTTTCCGAAATGGTAACGACATCAGAAGAGGGAAAGATTTACGAGCATGTATTATAGATGTGATGGTGTGCTGCAATAATAGGTTGTCTTGCTGTCCCGTGCAAGCGTTGCGGAATGAAAAGAATTTTGTATGCCTTTTTACAACAGTACAATTGCGAACTATATAGAAGGCTTGAATGAATCCTGTCTAGTGTGGCAGAACTTGATTTGCCCAAATGTTGCGGTGCCTGATATGTCAAGACCTGCTTCTCAGCTAACCTTTAACGCCGATCGACTCCCAAATACAAACTCGAGCGAATAGATTATGCCCCTGTGCGTTTCTTTCTCCCCTAGACTCCAACTTTCACCTTCTATCCTGCCCAGGCGTCCCAAGACCACCCGGGAAGCCAGGCGGCGGAGCAGAGCCAGGAGGGAAGCCTTGGCCCGGAGGAGGCGGCATGCCCGGCATACCAGGGAACCCTGGAGGCGCGCCCGAAGCCCCCGGGGGAGGGAAAGGAAGTCCTCCTGGCGGTGGAGGGAACGGCAGGCCGCCGGGTGGAGGAACTGGTAAACCGTTGGGACCGGGGGGGAAGGGAGGCATAGGAGGGATGCCACGGCCACCAGCAGGAGGGGGCATTCCATGGGGGAACTGGCCTGGAGCAGCGCCAGGCATACCAGGAAATGGAGGAGGGCCGCCTGCTACACGGTCAGTATGGTTGCATGTCATGGTCGACGGCGACGACAGCCGTACCTGGGAATGGGAACGGTGGCGGGAAAGCATTGCCCGGCTGGTTTTGAGGAAGCATGGGGTTCGCATGTGCTTGGCCCTCGGCGGCGTAGGATGAGGTGATGGAGTCGATGACGGACTGTGCCTTTTCGTGGCCGATTTCTGTAGCCAGATTGTTAGACGAGACGTATGGTCTCTTGGAGGGATATCATGAGATGAGAAGGGGACCGAGTGTGGTGGGCACATACGTTGGTAGTAGTCTACCACATTGCGCAAATGGTTCTTGCCACTATTGTGAGCTTTGCGCACGCTCATGGAGTCGTGGGTGAGGTATACATCGCAGTAGTCGCCTAGATGGTGTGAGGTTCGTGATGAGTAGGTGGGATTCGAGGCGTGGCAGGTTCAAGCTTACAAAAGACTATTTGGAAGGTCAGCATGAATGGGCACTATACTCGTTGTGTTGATGTAGAGGAAGCGACTCACATTTCGGCATTTTGACGTCCTGTCCAGCAATCCGCAGCAGCAGTGTGACGGCTCAATCGTCAAAAGTTCAAGACATTGGCTTTTTCGGAAGCCTCGTCGCGACGGAAGAGCCATTGCATCCACACGAGGCTCTACTCGCTGTGGCTCCATACATGACTAAGCATCTGTACGGAGTAGACTTTGCGCACCAGACAGGAGCACAAGGGGAGGTCCAGGTTCAGCATTCACGAATCAACCCTGATTGGATGCCCCTGTTCCACACCATTTTGGTAAACGCGACACCTTGCAAGTTCCCCAAGGTCGAAAAGGTGCTGGCTGCTCTGCATGTGTAGGCGGACTGTGATAAACCTCCTTTCCCTTCGTATCCCTTTTTGCATGTCAACGTCAACACATCGACGCAACACAAAACACCATGGCATTGCAACGCTCGACGCTGCAGTGGCTCTGCAGTCTGCTGGTGCTTGTTGGGGTCGCCAACGCACTCAAGTTTGACCTTATTGCGCACACTGGCGGCGAGAGCACCAAGAAGGAGAGATGTATTCGCAACTTTGTCGGACAGGAGACGCTTGTTGTCGTAACGGCTACGGTGGATGGGTTCAAGGGCGACGGAATGGTTGTCAACATGCACGTACGTCGTCGATTTTCCTCTGGGAGGGATGAATTGGGAAACAGTTCGAGCGGTTAGTCTGGGGTACTGATTGCATGAATGACAGGTTCGCGATGCATTGGGCAACGAGTATGGCCGCCCTAGAGACGTTGTCGGCGAGTCCAGAGTGACGTTTCAGTCTCACGCCGATGCAGCTTTTGATGTTTGCTTCGAGAACTTGTTTTCAGGCTGTAAGTCGCGATTATCCCAAGGTCCCTGGAGTCGACGAGCTGCGTTTTATGCCAACTGACTGGTGCACATAGCCCGCCGACCCAACCCTGCCTCTCGCCATGTCGAACTCGACATCGACATCGGCGCCGACGCCAAAGACTGGAGCGCCATCCAGGCCACCGAGAAGCTCAAGCCCGTCGAGGCTGAACTCCGCCGTATCGAGGAGTTGACCGAGGAAATCGTCCAAGAAATGGACTACCTCCGCCAGCGAGAACAGAAGCTCCGCGACACCAACGAGAGCACCAACAACCGTGTCAAGTGGTTCGGCGTCACTACTACATGGATTTTGATTGGTCTCTGGGCGTGGCAGATAATGTACCTCAGGGCTTACTTCCGTTCCAAGCATCTTATCTAGAAGCCGTTTCTTTTCCGTCCGTGGGAGTCGGTACAAGACAGGCAAAGAAAACTCTCGGTATGCAGTTGTCGTCATTGCGTCCTTTTTTCCCCTGTCGCGATTCAGTATGTCAGAGCGACTTTTCAAGGGCGATATTTCGAAATCCGAAGGCTAGATTAGTTGCGAAATGGGGTGTGGTTTTTTCTCTCTCAACTGGGTAGTTTCATTGGGTTGGCCGTCCTCTGTCTTTATTTGTTTTAGTTGGCGGCTACTTACAACCCGGCATGCTGGCGTTTGTACATCATGATGGACGACAAGGGATAAGAAGGGGGGAGTCTTAAAATGCCGATATAAAAAGACGGAGGGCTATTTGGTTGGCAGCATTTACGGTAGACCTAAATGGCGATAATACGTGGATTCACATGGAGTCGAAGTGAGGCTCGCATGTGACGGCTTCAAGTAGCGAGAACAATCTATGCCTTGATCAAACCATGTTCACAAAATAAGACGCGTTCAATACTTGAGCGGCACAGATGGTGCACGGTTTTAAGAAGCAATTGACAGCGGCAGAAATCTATACTCTCCGTGCCGCCTCGCCACAGGCCCACATCGGTTTCTCGCCTCGGCAATAGCTTTCACTCTCGGCTTCTTGACTCTCACCATCTCTACATAGCAAGTACGCACATCCTCTCACCCAAACCGACCGTCCACACAACACTTTTCAATCAGGTCAGTTTCGAGCAAGCGATCAAACAGCGCAACCAAAAAAAAAAATGGCCTCGTCCCTCCGGTCCCTCCGGCCGGCAACCGTCACAGTGCGGCGCGCAGCCCTCCTCCCCCATCGGCTTCTCACCACCACGCCGCGATACTCATCCACCAAGGCCGAGCCCATGCCGTCCCAGGGCGAACTAGACGTCGGCGAGCTGCAAGGCATCAAATTCCGCGTCGCGCCCATCAAGCGAGTCGGCGAAAACGACGACACCAAACGCGCACGACTCCTCTGTACGCTCCTCCACCCGCAATACTACTCTGTTTTCAAAACTCCAAAAATGTAAAAGGCTAACGAAATCCCATCAAGACCAGTCCCGTAAAAGAGGAACCCTGGAATCAGACCTCCTCCTCTCGACGTTTGCAAAGGCCCATCTGCCCAGCATGTCGGGCGGCCTCCTGGCGCAGTACGACGCGCTGCTCGACGAGAACGACTGGGACATATACTACTGGGCGACGCAGCGCGAGCCCTCGGACTCGTACACGTCGACGAACCCGTCCGTAGCGGCGAGCCCGGCGGACGCGGATGCGTTTATTCGGTCTGAGCCGCCCAAGGGGGAGTGGGCGCAGACGGTGGGCAACTTCAGGCCCGCGTATAGGCCGGTGCCCGAGCGGTGGAGGGGCAGCGAGGTCCTCGAGATGCTGAGGGTGCACGTGAGGAGCAAGAGCGTCGATGGCGGCGAGGGCGGCGGGATGGCGTTTATGCCTGCCTTGGAGGACCGCTGATGCGTAGGGGTGTCATGGATAGATGGATGGATGGATGGATTCTTGTACTTTTAGGACGCGGCCACAGAAGCCACTGTATAACATCGAATCCAATATCAACCAACCTTGACTCTGCTTAGAGCAAAGCATCAAACTGGTAGTCCGGCGGTTTCACACACCTCGCCATACAAGGTATGCAAACCCCTCGACAGACCATGAGCAAAGCAACTCTCACTGCCACACACACACACCTCGCACCGCAAAACACATATGTACAATCCAGTCTCAATTGCACAATGTACCAACCAGTGATATATTCACCCGACCCAGCAAACCACAATGCGCCAATGCCAAAGCCTACCCATTGCTCCGCGCTCACATTAACCAAAGAACGTCAGAAAGCCCCCTCCCTCCACACAACTTTTTCCTCATCCCATCCAATCAGGTATGAGCCATATGAACCAAGAAAAGTAGCATCATAGCATCATCAAACTCGTTAGTGACATGTCATCGCCCCCCCACAGATACTTTCTACACAGCAACAGCATCCTTTGTCCCGTCCGGTAGCATCATCAACCTCCCTCGGGTAAAATGTTGCTCAGACTCCTCAACACCTCCATCAAGGGCATATCCCTCGTCCCTGCGCTCTTCTTCTCCCGCTGCTCACGCTCCTTGAGCCGTGCCGCGCTCAAACGAAGGACCTGATCTGCCTGTCGACCCGCCACCAGTACCCTTTGCTCCAACTTGTGCACATTGTCTGCTAACTGGTCTACTTCGAATTCGAGAGAGGCTTGGATTTTGCGTATTCTCTCTTCTGTTTTCGCGCGCATATCTGCAAAGGGAATCATTTCGTCGGCGAGATACGTCCGGATTTTTACTTCTTCGGGTTCGAGGAGGTTGAAATCGGGGAGTTCAATTTTCGGCGCCTCCGTAGAGGAGGAGAATATCGGGGGAATGTCGGGCGGTGGTTGGCATATTGCCAGCCAGGCTTGTTTTTCATCTTGTAATCTAGTGGTTGGTTAGCATTGCATGTATACATACTGATCAAACGTCAATTAATGCCTACGCTTTTATTTTCGCCTCCAACGTCGTCAATTTTTCATCTAGCTCAATATTCCGGGGATTTGGCTTCAAGATAGGCGCTTCTTTTGGCGCATCTTCGTCCCTGCTGAACCAGTTTGAAAAGTCGGTCCGCTGAGCAAAGTCCTTTAATATTTGTTCTTGAATCGCTCGGGCTATATCCAGTTAGCAAGTCTGTTTATCGCCCGTTGAGCTATATTTCCAGGACATACCACCTAAGATAGCGCTTGAATTCGGTGTCCCGTGAGGCGGCTTTTTCGGCAAGGCACGCTCGCCGCACCACATCAGCAACTGCTTCATCCTTTTCGGTTCGAGCAAACCCTCTGCTTCAATATGCTTGTAGAACTCGGCCGTATTCACATCGCGATGCGGTGTTGCTGTTTGCCCGCTCTCTATCAGTGAACTGGCTCTTCGGCCGCGGGACCCTAAACTGCTCCGTCTGTTCCCCTTCCCGCCCTTTTTGCGCATCTCTTTATTTCGATTAATAATTGGGGTATCACTCATGGGAAGCGCAATCTTGGACTCGGTTGGCCGCCGTGGAGTTGGCGAAGGCTCCCATCGTCTTGGTTTCGATGCCTTTTCTCCGTTCGGGCTCGTTGCCTTCGACGTGCCGCGTAATATCGAGCCCTCAGCGCTATCATCCGCCCCAGCTGTAGCAACCCTAATGCTCCTCCTCGTCGGTCTCCTGTCCGTCTGAGGCTCATCTTGATGAGATGCGTCGTCAGCTTGCCTCCGCCGCGAGGATCTCCGTGTACCCGGTGTCGCCGATGTTGATGTTGATGGAGCAATGGCCTTATTTGCTGTGCTTGTGGATTCTTTCACGACTTGCTCTGCCGTTATCCGGCCCCCGCCTGTCGTTTTGCTCCCCGAGGACTCCTCCGTCTTGGACCTTTTCGACTTTCGCACAAACTGGAAATCATCGTCCCGTTCAAAGTCGGCCGCGGCTATGTCCAATGTCAGTATTTCCATCATTCAATATTTCCCATACGCTCCCGCTTCAGCGATAAAAACTTACCGACTTGACGCTTGCTCCGTCGGCGCTCTTGCTGGTTGCTCATGCTAAGATGTTCTAGCGCCCGTTGAGTCGCCACGAGAGTCGTCATGGATGGCTAATTGAGCGATATCATGGAGTATATGTCGTAAGAAGCAATGGGGGCTGTAAAAATACCAATGTCGGTCGCTGGTTGCGGTGGTGGTTAGCCACCCAGCTGGGGTCGTGGCGCGTGGTTGGTGACCTTTGCCGAGCAACAGTCGCGTCAAATGCGTCGCGTTGGGCTCGGCAGCCAGCACCGTAAAAATCCCTTGGGGTCGCTTATACTTCTTGATTGGCGCTTTTGGCGTTTAACTGCACGGGGGGAATGATGTTCGCGAGAGAGCAGCTGCAGGCGCGGGAATGGCGATGGTCCGTCTGGGAGAGAGAACTCGGCTCATGTTGTTTACGCTCCCAAGAAGGTGGTGAGGGAACCTCAACAGTCCCGCTAAACCCCTTTGGGCCGGTTCGCAGCCCAAGCACCCCCACCACTGCAGGCTGCCCACCAGCCTCCGTGATTGGACAGGCAAGTCTCACCAGACACGACACGCGCAATTTGATCCCATGTCTCTCTATGGTCAACTGCAAGGTTTTGCGGCTCTGCAGCGTTTCAAGACTTCTAAACGGCAGAGCCATAAGCATCTCATAGATATACAGCGAGCATACAAGCTCCGTGGACCGCAGTGATGCAGGGTGCGAGTGCTACCAACACCATCCGGTAGACCAGTCGGCCGTGTTCATGGATAGACGATTCATTCCATGATTTAGCTCAAGTCTCTCAAATCGCTACGTAGCGTCATGTTGCCTACAGCTACTGTGTAATACACTAAAACAAGCCAATCGACCCCAAGTACGTTGTCCGCAAAAGTACTGTCCACAAGAGCACCGGTTCCTCCGCAACGCCGCCACTAAAACCAGAACTCGTCCTGTAAAACACCTTTTGATGTACGTGTGATCCGCAGAATATACATAAATAAGCGCGTAACGGGGCTAGACAGCGTGCCCATTCTGTTCATGGGGAACCAAACGTCATGTCCCGCAGCTTGTAAAATGAAAAATGAGCCTGATTCGAAGTCGCCATTTTCTTTCCTTGCCCGATATCCCAAACAGGTCTTATGAACTTCATCATACTGTTGTACAGTCCAATTGCACAATGACCAAAATTTGTACAAATGCCTCTCCGGCCCTGCATAGTCAACCCTTGCAGCGCGTGGCTGCGCAGTAAGGGAATGCTTGCTTGAGGCCTCGCAGTCCATGCCATTCTATCTCTCATCACAACGACACGCAGGAAGATCCCGTTTGTGGAAGAAAGAAGAACTAGATAAACTGTCTCCACCTTATGAGCCTGTCGACACATGGTCTATCGGCCATTTCGAAGTCCGTCCCCCCATTCTTCCTATGAGAATCGGCGCTGGATGCTTTGACCAGCCATGACTTGCTGATTAGGCATCGGGCCGGCCATTCCATAAGGGTTCATCTGGGCGTTAAAAGGCTCAACAACCCCAGACATAAAAGTACCGTGCAGGCCCTGCTGCTGGGTCACTGGACAGTCTTTATGCGCCAATAACAAAGTTTTTAGGTTCACAACTTCTTCTCTTAGTTGAGTGATTTGAGATGTAAGCGCGTCATTTTCACTGCTGTACATTTCGACTTTATTTTGTAGATTGGCGAGCCACTGTTTTTTCCTCTGCCGACATTTGAGGGCAGCGACACTAACACATCGTATGAGCATAAAGTTTACATCATGTGGCAAGGGAAGAATCAACCTACCGATTACGCTCGAGAAAATTCTTACGCTTTTCTTCATCCGTCATCTTTGTCTTCGAACTGGGATCGTCTCCCATATCATCGTCCTCCTCGTCCGACACCTCAGGTGACATCCCGTTCACTGCACCAGCATTTCCCTTAGACTTTTTGTTGGGAGGAGCTTTGGCCGGTGTATCATCGGCTTTCCTTCTTCCGTTAGATGCAGCAGCAGTGGCTTTCTTACCCTTTCCTTTGGCCGCAGGCTTGGCCTGTTCCGGCTCTTCCGATCCATTGGTGCCTTCGCTGCCACCTCTTGACGCAGCATTTCCGGTCGACATTTGTGGCGATGTGTTGGAGGTCTGAGGAGGTGCTGGCGCAGGATGAGCGTGACTAGGCGCACTAGATGTAGGGAATTGTGATGATGGTTGGTTCCCGTTTCTGGTTTGTGCGCCTTGCGCAAGCATGAAGAGGCCGTTGGCAGCATCGTTGTCGTGAGGATCGAAAGGCCCGGATGCCTGTTTCGGCTCTGCTTTAACAGTAGGCGTCGCGCCGTTTGGCATATCTGCTGGTTGTGATGTCACTTGTTGCGATTGTGTTTGAGGCTGTCCTTGCTCGCGCTTGGCAGCAGCCGCGCTCATAGCAGTTCGATGAAAGTCTATTGTGCTTGGAGTCGCGCCTCCACTGGCAAGCTGTGCGAAGAGTGCTTGGGAGTTGGGGCTTGGCGCCGGGAACATGGAACCGCTGCCTCCAGGTGTAAGTCCTGACCTCAACGATGACTCGTTTGGCGTTGGAAATCCGCCTCGCAAGTGATGCGCGTCACTGAAATAATCGTTGGCCGGTCCCGACAACATTGCGGGACTCAATGGACCGGTGCGCAGCGAGCCTCCTCCCCAGGTGAACGGCGTATTAACTGGCAGAAGTGAAGATGGCGAGGTCAAGGCAGCGACTGAAGGAAGCTTTGTGCCTCCTGGAGTCTCTGGGCCACCACCACCCCCGAAAGACTGCTCGAACGGATTGGGCTCCAGGCTGAGAGATCCGCCACCTTGGCCAGAGAAGTAGTCGGGGGTATTATTGCCTTGTGGTTGTTGACCGGGTCGAGGCGGCGGTGCGAGAGGTTTAGCAGCTTCCGCATTAGACGCACCATCCGGTTTCACGGCGGCAGGGTCGGCCTTGGAGTCGGAGACTGTACCTAGAATGAGAAACGCATGTGAGCAAAGATGCGAACGACGACGAGTGGTTGGACAACGAACTTGCACAATGGTTTGAAGCTCAAGCAAAGGAGGGTTGGGCTGTGACAGAGGCGAAAATGACGACAGTGGAGCAGCACGCAATGCAATACCGGACATCAAGACGTGAGATTGCGTGACAACGGTAGTTGTGTAGAAAGGACGAAATTCAGGAGCCTGAAATGGGACAATTCGATGTGGCTCACCTTGCCGTAATGTTTTGTTGTTGGAGGATTTGGGGGACTTCGACTCGGTACCAGGAGAAGTCCCCATGATGACACTATGATGTATGATGTATTATCTTGGGGGCAAGGGAATGGCTGGATACGGGTGGGGTAGGGAGCGGACAGCGGCGAGGTAGATGGAAGGAACAAAAAAAGAGGGCTAGTGAGGTCAGAGACAGCAACAGATGTCAGAGGCGTTTGTGACGGGAGCCCTGAGCTGTGGGATTTTGCAGCGTCGCGAGTCCAGAACGGCGCCTATCTGGAGTGGGCGAAGATTTACACCCGCAAGGCGAAGCTGGGCTGGTTGCCAACAGACTAGCAAGGAGACCGTCTGGCAGCCGGGGAAAGTCTCTGCACCACCGCGTCGGCGTCGGCACGACCAGGTGATTTCCGACCCAAATAAGATGCGCCCCTACAAGCACCGGGTTAAAAAAAAAATATATAAAGGGTGTGTGTCGGGAGCCCGTTGCTTGCAAGCGGACTGCGGCGTGCTGCTGTGTGGGATTGCGGCGAGCGGCTCGAACGAGACGAGGATCGTGAAGGGGCTCAGGCTGAGTTTGGGGAAGGAAAGACGTCAGAGATGACGTTGTGAGGAAGCAGCGAAAAAGAAGGCGCAGGAAAAAAAGCGAATGGCGGCGCCGGGGGGGGCTAGGAAAAGGCTCTATTGTGTGCCGGCTTGGCTGGCACTGGCAGCTGGCAACCGGCAGCCACGCTCTGCCAGACAGCGCTCCGTTGCTCGTACTGTGAACGTCTACCTCGTCCAGAATGGTCAAGCAGGGCGGGTCCAATGTTGGCGGGCAGCCGGGGCAAGAGCCATGGACAAACAGGGCAGGAGCAACGGCCGTGGACCCTGCCTCTACCTGACTGGCTGACAAAATTCTGATTTCTCAGCAACTGACACTGTGCGGGAACTCGAGAAATGTCGGGCAGAGACCTTCGAATCAGACTCGACTGATCAGTGCTGCTTCCCACTTATCGACACGTCGAATCGGCCGATGCGCCTGTGAATCGCCGTCGTGCAATCGTGCACATTCTTGCAGGCAGGCAGAAACTGCCAGACCAAGATGGCCGTGGATGGATGCATCACCTCACTTCGCTTCGTATCATTCACAATTGGGCGAGCGCCTGGGTCAGAGACTGTACTCAATACGCCGTAACGGAGGGCGAGTTCGTCGCCTTCACGTCCCAGGCTAACCTGGGGAAGGAGCGACTCGAGCATAGGCCAAATTGGTAACCAAATAACAGGCGCATGCAGCATGCATACGGAGTACCGTGGGTGGCAATTCGCAAATCAACCTGGCGGGCAAAAACCTCCATCTCCAATGCTGAAGGAATCAGCATGTATTTCATTAACCTCCAACCTTCACTATCAATGGTGTGCGGAGTACTAATAATGGCCGCCCACACCAGAGGACGAGATACCGTTTGCGTACTCCGTATTGTCCGCCATTCACACACAAAACGAAGCACCTTTTCCACATGGCCGTCAGAAAGAGAGGGGGGGCCGAACACGGACACAGAATAGAGTTAAGTGCCTAGTTAGGTACAAATAGGATTTTAGCACAGCATCATCACTCTCGTCGTCACGGCCTGTCACGACATGCTGCCCAAAACGAGAAATGGCTTCATAAACGCGCACGCCAACCATGACGATCTGCCCACCCGCAACAAAATTCTGCCATCCAACAAAACATCCACTTACAATCCCGGGTTGTGTCCATGGACTCCACAGCCCATGATGGCGCGTTCTAGGGAGAATATCCCATGGTGGGCTGAGAGATTTTGGTGGCACCACGGCTTCGGGCCAGACAGAACTGATGGAGTGTTAGAACACCTTATATACCTGCACGAGCTGGAGTTGTGGTTGGAGATGGTTCCCTAGTCAGTCAGTCCATTATCGGCCGTCGATGTTTCGTTGAGGACCGAGAACCCAAGCAAAGCGACCAAGTCAACTCTGCCCACCGACCCGAGAGACCGGCCTACCCTGAGGGCCGTCCTGTCAGGGGTCATGACATGATTTGTTCTCAGCATGGATCAACTATTATTGGAAATATGAAGACGTAGGACTTATCATTAGGCGCCGGTCGAATCAATTCCGCAGTCCTCCCCTTCAGTTTCAACTTGGCTATCCTGTGTCCTGGGTCCTCTAGCTGCCAGTCGACAGTGGTGAGTCGATCAACTCCACGAAAACACATCCCAAGTGCTAATCAACCACAGTCCCCTGAATCTAGAACAAGAAGTTGGAGGTGGCGTACTCGTCGAGCCTCATTCGCCGCCTTCTTGCAGGCTTTGGTTCAAATCGTGCAACCACCATATCTGATACAGAGCAACTGCGCCAATCACCACGAGCCATCAACCGCCATCCACCCATCCGTCGTTTTTGAACTGAGACTGGCCGATGTATAATGCCCAGCCGCAGCTCCCTGCAGCAAGTTAGCAACTTACTACTACGTATCTCCCGCCGGCCGGCTTTGGGTACGGAGTAGTTGTCCCCGTACCTCGTTTGCTCGTGTTTCCTCGCATGCAGGTGGTGCGTTATGCACGGTGGAGGGCAGGGAGCTTGACTGGACGGACGACACGGCAAGCAAGCCTCTGACAAGCCATGCAGAAATGATTTCACAACAAACGTCGGCAATACGGCCAAACGAATCATGAACGGAACGACAACAGAAGATACTTCTTGATTGAGCGACAGGGCAACCTGCTGAATTCGACTCCCGAACGGTGTCTCGACTCTCGACCGGACACCAGTTCAGTTGGCACGGTGGAAGCAGCAGCCGCAAAACCCACCTTTGCCCGCGCACTGTGCACCCAGAGCTACTAACAGGATCCCAGAGGGTCCCGCGTCCTCCCCATGTCGCGCTATGAGGACTGGATGACGTCAGCTCTCATGCCCGGCGCCCACTCGTCCACGCATTGGGCTCATGGCCTCGTCCCGGTAAAACAGAGTGAAACCTGTCAAGAAGGTTTGCTGATTGAATGGTATGCTGGTCCGCGTTTTCTTCAAGCCACGGCCCAGATCACGGTGAGCAAGCTCAGTCACATTTGTGAATATTCTCCCCAATATCCTGGAGCGTGGTAGAGTTACGTCACTGGCATGCAGCCATCCCGGCAAAGGCGCTTTCCCCAGAGTTTCGAGATTGATGCCTTTTTGCCCGCCAGTCTTCCGATTCCAGCCTCACTGGGTGGTGCGCAGCCCCGAACGGAAACGCCTACAGTTGGCGAATGCCGTGTAAACAGGGCTCTGTCGTTTTTTTACCCGGTCGCTGGGATTCCGGATTTCACAATCAATGCCCACCCGTAGGGTAAGTCACCAGACTCGAATACCACGGCACGTGAATGCGACATGATCAAAACAAAGGAACAAGTCCAGGTTTTGTTTTGGTTCTTGAGAGCTTGTACATGCAGGAGACGAGATTTAGGCTAGCCACCTAGCTAGCACCGTTCGTTTCACATTGGAGATTCTAGAAGAGGCGTACTAGGTCTGTAGCATAAAATGCCATCAAAAGTAAATTGAGTAGTTAATCAATGGACGGTCATATGATAAATAGAAAAAGCTAATATCTTCACCTCGGCCACGCCAACAACGTGACAGGGACCAAGTAACCATAAAACAAATAAGTGAATCAATAAATCACAATTTCGTGCCAGCCTCCCTCCCCTTCTGAATCCTAAACCCATGCCTCGGCGCATGCACCCTCACCTCCTGCTTCCCCTCGCCCTCCGGCTTGGTCTCATACACCACCTCGTCGCCGGCCAAGCTCACCAGCCGACCGACATCCTTCCTCGTGGCCCCAAAATCAGTCGGCCCAACCGTAATCTCATCCCCCTTCCTCAGCCCTAGCTTCGCCACCTCAAAGTCCCCCTCGTCCACGGGGCCCTCACTCTCGTGATACTCCGAGGCCAGGATCAACTTCTCCGCCTCCTCGCCGCTCACGGTCCTCGGCTTGCCCGCCTTCTTCCTCGCCTGCTGAAGAGCCTCCTCGAAGCGCTGGATCCACGCGTAGACCTTGGGGTACACCTGCGGGCCGAACCTGTCCTTTGGCAAGGCGCCAGGAAGTCCGGCCAGCCAGTGCAGCGGCCACACGGCCTCAATGTCAGCGAGGCCGGGGCCCGGGGTCTTGAGGATCCAGTCCCTCCCGTCGGCGAGGAGGGTCGTCTCGAGGAGGTTGAACACGGAGGCCACCTCGCGGAGGGCAACGTGCTTGGGGTCAGGCCGAGGCTGCGTGCCAAAGAACTCCGCCCTGTCCTTTTGGAAGGTTGGGTTCTTGAGGAGGGGCAGGTCGCTGGGGAGCAGGGAGGCGGCCCAGCCGAACACGCCGGCATCTGTCATCAGCGTTGAGAGGAGACGCTCGATGGCCCGCTGATCGGGCTGGCTTGTTCCGAGGCGGGGGAGAGAAATGTCCATGTTTTCAAGCTTGATGAACTGTAGACGGGTATCCAGGTAGACGTCTCTGCCGATGGAGAGGATGGGAATGCGTCTGTATCCAATTCCGAGGCGTGCCACGTCTGGGCGAGGCATTGTAGGTGGTTGAACCTTGGTATAGTCAGTATTGGGGCCAGACGCTGGGCTTTTCTTTCTAAGAACTTACACATTGTGCGTACGGAATTCCGCGAAGGGTGAGATACCATGTGACTCTTCGAGCGTATGGGGAGTAAGAGTAATGATAGAGAATGATGTTCTCGGAAGCCATTTTTGTGTCAATTCACGGATTTACCTGGAAAAGAGATGCGTCTTCTACTTCACGCAGCCGCTCTGATAATTGGAAGTCCTATCCAGCGTTATAAGCGTTATGGTTGTTTGGAATCATCGCCAGGCCGACAAGCCGACGAGGTCTTGATGCCTTTACCTCGGTTTTATGCGGGGGCGGGGTTGCAGCTCCTGGCCAATAGCGTGTTACAGACTAGGAGCACCCTCGGTACGAAACATAATATCACCATGGCGGAAGATTAACATGGTCTATGGCAATTCATTTCAGCCAAGTCTGGGGCAGAGCAACCTATCTACTGTAATAAATCATGGCGTCCTCGCCGAGGGCCATACAGCGGAATCTCGAGTCGCCGCGAAAACAAAGAAGCAGAACTATAGCAAACTCGCAACCCTCTGAAAATCTCAAGATTCATGATTAATATTGCGCCTGAAATTACCATCCGCAATTCTCGGCAGTGAGCTCACCGGACTGGCCGCCTCCATTGCCACTTGGCCAAGCCGAATCCGTGGTAACGCCATTGGAATTTTCAGCTGTATCGGGGAAGCCGCCGTCATCATCAGCAACAAGTGGTTCCTTGCAGCGGACTTTGGTATGTCCGAACTTCTGGCAGTTTGAACACTGCACCTTGCTCCCTGTACAACATTAGGATGAATCAAAGAAGGAAGGTGGAGACACGTACAATCTTTTGGCTCAGGGCAGTCTCTGCTGAAATGCCCAGTCTTTTCGCAGTTACGGCATGTAACATTATCCATGTTACGCGGCTGATCGCACTCTTTGGCCATGTGACCTTCCTGCCCACAGTTGCGACAGGCTCGACTACCTCCCTGTGGGCAATCCTTACCCATGTGGCCCTCTGAACTGAATTAGAGATACTCCATGAATCATCTGTGAAATTGACTTACTTTCACCGCATTTCCGACACTCCATATTGTCCAAATTGGGAGGCTCTTCACAATCAGAAGCCTTGTGGCCAGATTTTCTGCAGCAGTCAGTACTGGTGTGCAGAATCCACAGGAAACATGGGACGTATAGCATCACCTACCCGCAGTTTCGGCAGGCAAACTTGTCTACTCGTGGTTCGGGGCCTGTTAATTACTGTGAGTACCATGGAATCAAAAAGAGCTTCGAAGCCTTACAGTCCCGAATACGATGGCCCTCGCCGCCGCAGTTGCTGCACGAAATGGCAGGCTGGGCTTTCTTCTCGACCTTCTCCTGAGTGCAGAACTTGCTGGAGTGCCCTAATTCACCACAGTTGTGGCACTTCCGAAGACCGGTGTCGACTACCTCACCAGCATCATCAAGCCTCTCCAAGAGTTCCTCGCGGCTCTTTGGAAACGCTTCAGCCTCACGAGGGCGTTCGGGTTTCTCTGAGAACCTGTACGAGATTGTGTACTTCTTTCCAGTATGGCCTTGAAGGTCCATATTGGTGAAGACATTTACGAGTTGACGCTCAGTAGCAATGAACCAAAGATTGATGCCTTGATCAATAAATAGAGACTGCAGCTGGCGGTAGGTGGTGTCTCCTCCGATGGCTTTGACGTACTCCTGAAGCGCTTCTTTCGCGTCGTCGACATCTCGCTCAGAGCAAGCAGTCTTGAGCTTGGACAGAGCTTCCTCAGGAGAAATATCGGCAACATGATCTCTGTTGATGACCCGCGCATTCTCACAGTTCTTCCGCATATGACCTGCATTTCATGATTAGCAGTGTTTCTTGCCATCATTCGTTGATTGAATCTGTACCTTCCTGGCCGCAGTTGTCACACACCATGGGCGGCTTGTCTGGGCAGTCCCGAATCATATGCCCCTCCTTCTTGCAATAACGGCAAGCGGTGTCTCGAGGAGTCGGGCAATCGGCAGCTCGGTGGCTTCGGTCACGTTAGCTCTGCAAACTATAACCTTGACGGAATAATTACACAGGCACTTACCCAGTTTCACCGCAGTTGAAACACTTGTTGTTGGCGTCATCATTGCCAGCTTCCGTATGTTGGTTGGGGCAGTTCGCCTCCTCGTGGCTTCGAAACGTTGTCAATCACGTTACACCCAATCTGCTAGCATGCTACTTACCCTTCCTGACTACAAGCACCGCATTTTACTTGAGGCTGATTCCATCCTGAATCATTGCCTCCAGCTGATCCCCAGTTGTCACCAGAATTTCCCCAGTCTCCCATTTTGATAAGGAATGATACGGACTGGCTGGATAGATTCTTGGCACAATCAAGGTCTCAAACGAGAAGTCCAACGAATCCCGTAGTCAAGACGAGGTTGGAAAAGGCCATCCAACGTGTCTTAAGGCTAAATCAAGAGAAAAACGTGCGGGCTCAAAAAAGACTTTCGATGAAATGTCAGTCGAAGCGTGTGATGAGAGAGAAAAGATGCGTCTAGTCGACAACGCACACTGCGATGCTAGAGTGGAATTTAAACGAGGCACGAAGCGCTGCGGCCTGATGAGGAAGAAGAGAGAAATACACAGGAAGGCGGGCGTGCGAGCAAAATAAATAAGGAAGCGGCGGTTCGTCGGGTGCCTGACACCTGGCAGCCGCGTTCTGACAACTGCCAGTGCCCAAGCAGGTGTAATCTAGAAAGACGCAAGTGTCAACTTGAACTTCTCGGCAGGTCCTTCCATCAGGACCCCCATCATTGAGTGGGATGTTAAGCCAGGACAAAGAAGTGCTGTGTTTGTTTAGCATCTTCTACCGTATATACGTCCAATTCATGGATAGAAATTGCTGGATTCGGAGGGCAACCCGCCACGGAGAGTCGGAGACATGTTGTGAATACCCTTGACGTATATTCGCATGGTAGCAGGCCTTACTTGCGCTACACATTAATTTACATCATATACAAAATGAGACCACCAGAACGCCTTGATTTTCCTCCGTTCCCGATGCAAAGCTACTTATGCTGTGGACACGACACACCACGTATGGATAAAGATTACTGGTTGCTCTTATCCATGTGTCATGTCTTGGTGGTCTCCCCCTCTTCCTCGTCACTGTCGTCTCCAATGCTATATTTACTCTCCCCACGACCAATCGACTCTTGTAGGGGGATGTTGTCGACAGTTGTCTCGTCGAATGCAGCGGCTTCTAAGTCACGATCACTCTGACGGTTATGGAAAGCAGCTAGACCAGTCCTCGACTGGCCAGCGGTCTCGTCGCTTTGCAAAGCAGAGTACGCTGTACCCTTGCGTCGTTGGCGCCAGACGAAGTAGCCCCATACCGAAGCAGCAATGATTACAATCACTAGCACGACCTCACCAGATCGCTGATAGGCAAGCCACTGGGCTTCCTTGAGCTTCTGCTTTGTCTCTTCTTCATGTTGTTGGGTGTTGTTCTTAGCTCCACCGACAGAGGTGTCTGGACCCTTCTCGCCATCAATTCGACTGTCCGACGGCTCACCGCCAATGCTGCTGATGTCGACCTTCATGAAGCGGTCCAGCATATCTCGTGAGCGTCGTGGGTAGTCAAAGGGGACCATGTGTGACGCGTTATGGAAGAGAACATAGGTGAGGTTACGAGCCTCCTGCCAAAAACCAGCAACCTCGCCCTCGAAGGTCCATTGCCTCCTGGGAGCCCAGTTGCCTGGCGTGACCTCGAAACCCTTGCCTTCATTCCATGCCAGATTGCTAATCAACTCCTCTGTACCAACGTGATTGCAAATAAGGTCCTCGGCTCCGGAGAAGAGAAGAATAGGGACCTCTTTCAGAATATCGGGGAGTAGCGAGATGGAGGCTGTCGCGTTCTGGTTCCTGAAGTTGGCATTGACCATGCTATTACACTCCTGCCAGCCAGTGTTTCGTTGCTTATCGAGATTCAACGCACTAATGACCTGAGGCTGCCGCAAATAAGGGCCGACATACTTCAAATCCGGAGGCCAATTCATGCCGCAGGAAGGAGCTGAGTCACGGAGTCGGACATCATACATGTTGATGCACTCCTGATCACCAGAGCCCACCCTGGTAAGTTCGAGAATTTTATTCAGAATGGACTCACACTCGGGATAGTCAACATGTCCAGGGTTGATGGACATTTCCTTGTCGCAAATTCTCTGCATTTGTTGGAGCTGCTGGGCGTTATCTGACCCCTTTTCAATCAGGCCCCTTTCAAGACTAAATTTGAGGTATGCGCTGGATTGGTCTTGGGGAGAGATCCAGCCATTGCCAATAAGTAGACCGCCGAGGTTCCATGTTTCAGCGCGAGATTTTGACTTGTTGCGATCGAGGATGGCTCTCGCAATATAGGGAATATGCTGTCCTGCGTATGACTCTCCAGCAATGTAGAGCTGTACGGCAAGTCAGCGGGGCAGCGACAGCAAAACACATTTCGCGAAATATACTTACATCATCTGACTGGTATTCTGGAAAAAGCGCGAAAAACTTTTCCAAAAACGTAATAAACTGAGTCGCCATGGCATTCAACCCATGAATGTAGCTATTCGTGTCGACATAACTGAAGCCTGTGCCGACCGGATTATCGACAAAGAGCAAATTTGCAAATTCATTCCAGGTACCGTTATTCAGGGTCAAGGCATTGTCCTTTGTAACTCTGTAAGGCCCAACCTCCATCAAGGCGCCATCCTCGGAACTACATCCTGGCCCACCGTTGAGCCATATTACAGTTCGTTGCCGGTTCGCAATGTGGTTGTTTTGAAAGTGCCAGAAAAACAAGTTGCCATTGGTTTCAGGAGTGACCTCGATGTGACTAAAAACCAGTGTCAACTAATGTTAGTCTTCTTCTCCCAAGATTCCTCTAGCCAGAGGCCCAGTTCGCAACATGGCCGATGGACGGTGATGGGTTGACTCACCCTGCATGCATCTTGATCGGAGGAGAATTTTTGGGAAGTCCCGGCAGCTCACGGACGTAGTAGTCGGCAGCAGACTTATCGCCAGCCAGGGTTGAAGCCGGCCAAAGTGCCAGGATCGCGAGCGCATGCCATGATGTGGCGAGGGACCAAGAGAACCGCGGAGCCATGACGACGAGATGCCGGAGGATGATGGCTGCTCACGAGCCAGGGGATGCGGATGCCAGCGGCAGGAGCAAAAGAGCAGTCGGTTGTAGCGGTGCTAAGTCATCAAATACAAATCCGAAAGATGCCGAGGATGAGACGGTGGAATGTTCAATGATACAAGAGCGATGGGTTTATCATCATCATCGTCTTACGGAGGAAGAGGCGATGTGGCTCGTAGGAAGTTGAGGCCTGTGATGCCGTCGGGAAGCAGTTGGAACTCGGACGCAGGAGGCGGTGCTGGCGGATTCCGGCCAGAGACCCCTGATCTGCCAATCGGCACTCGAGCTAGTACCAATTTGGTCGACGTGGCTAGTGGCCAACACCTTGTCAATAGGACTAGTGCCTCATTGACCATCTCTTGAAGAAGACGCAAAACGATAATGGCGAAGGACAATGGACGCCCAACGGCCAGAAGCGTTCAAATGTTTTGCCCCTCTTCTGTATTAACCAATTTCATAGCATAATCTCAAGCTAGTTTCGAATAGAGAGCTGGTTTAGCTGTAGAATCAGTCACTTTGTACACTGTCCACCTCGTCCCATGTGGCTCTGAAAAACCACCGCGCCCACCAAGCCCTCCTGTACCGCACTCCAGATATCCAATCGGCCTCACACCTCGAATTTTCCCAACCCGCATACAGGCTGGCCGTCTCAAGAACGCACCTCTGACCAGTCTCGGCGTCAGCCTATTCACATCGCCACAACCGTCATATCACTGAAAAAGCACGCCTCCAAGACCTGTGTCTCTTATTTACAAGACGCCCAGTTGAAAAAAAAAGAAGTCCTTACCCCGCCAAAAATGGTGGGCAAAACTTTCATCGTCGAGCATCTCGACCCCGAGCTCGGCCCCTGGTCAGAGCTAGAATACATCGCCATCGCCAAAGAAACCCAAGAAACCAAGGGCAACTTCCTCCTATCCAGTCTACCTACTGAATTCAAAGTCCCCGCAGCATTGAACGGCATCCCCGCATTCAAGCCAGAGCACCGTGGTGTCGAGGAGCTGTACGCGGACAACAAGGCCAAAGTGTGTCTGTTAGATCCCGCTGCGGCAAAGGATCTATCACCTGAGGACGGGGAGACGTTTGATGCGTTTTTGTTCGGTGGTATTTTGGGTATGCATACTATAACATAGCCGAGGTGAATCTTGAGACTAAATGGAAACTGAATAGGTGATGACCCGCCAAGAGGTTGGTGCTAGAACAGCAAGTGGAAAGATCAAGCAGTGCTAATGGATGTAGACCGAACCTCGGAGCTCAGGAGGAAGGGTTTTGAAGGACGGAGATTGGGGCCTAAGCAGATGACCACGGATACGGCTGTACGGGTGACTCGCTTGGTTGTTCAGGATGGCAGTAGGTCCCTTTCGGTCAAAAATACCGATGTGTCAATTGTGCTAACGAGAACAAGTTGCCCTGGACAAGGTCCCATATGTCGACTTTCCAGAGTTAAAATTCAACGCTCACGAGAGCACGCAAATGCCCTTCCGGTATGTGACAGACAAGGAGGGGAACCCAATTATGCCAGAAGTAAGTGAAGAATCACAATGTGCCATGGCTGAAAGATGAGAATCTGATAATGATGTAGGGAATGAAGGAATTGATACAAAAGGATGCGGACAAGTCACTAGATGACTTGATTTAAGAAGTGATATAGACAAAAAGCCAGGCAATGGTTCAAATTAACAAAAAAAAAAAAACTGAATGGCGGTCATATGTGACGATTCTAAAGAACCTCAGCGAACAACAGCAGATGCGGATAGATTCATCTTCGTAAAAGTCGACCCAACCTGTTCCATCACGTTGCTGTCTTACGTGTTGTAACCATCCAACCCGAAACAACAATCAACAATAGCCTCGAACTGCATGACGGCCATCGTCGTCATTGATCAAGGTACTCGTATGTTGATGCCAACTTGAGTCAAAGTCAAGCTCCCACGACGGGCTTTGCCTACCCTACATTCTAAAACAGTCGAACATATTCATCACACTGCTACCACGCCTCAAGAGGCAAGACCGTGGTGCGCGGGCCTACGCAACCCTGGCTATGGACATGGCATGTCCACCGAGACGAGGAGGAGACTGGAAAGGCCTCTCACAAAGCCGGCGTAACACCTCGACACTGTGACCCCTTATCAAAACAATCACCAGACATGCGTCAAGCTCCACGATAATTCTCCGACGCATAGGTGCATGACGTCCGTATCACAGACACAGCGTATATATTGGATCTGACGCAACTAGGCACATCCTCCGACCTGTCTCCTTGCGACAGCAAAGCCGTAGAGCGACCTCACCCAACATGGGCAGGACTGAATGTTTTGTCGACAAGAAGTTGTCTCTTGTGAACCCGAGACAAGTGTCATTCAAACACATCGGGAGCCAAGTCTAAAAAAAGAACATCAAATACTACTACACATATGTACTAATGTGTTGCAAGTCCATTGTAGACATGATTGTGGACCTCGGTAGTCGCAACATTTGCCAGGGGCGTCGCTCTGCCCAACTCTGAAACAGTAGCGAGCACATTGAGTTTTCGGGCGCTTCTTCAACCTATGTTGGAAACAAATGGCCGCGAAAGTGGGACAATTTTAAAATTATTCTACGAGTGTGCGCATACGTCAGGTGAACAAAACAGACCAAAATTTTCAAACCGTCAGCATCAAGTTGTGACATTCGGCTGCGGTGGGTAACCGTCCGCGCCATTCACCCTTCAACAACAACGTCGTCCGCTTTGGTCAAGGTGGCTTGAAACGGCATATGTCCTCCAACATGGGTCTTTTAGGTATTGGATTTACCCGCGGGGGGGAGCACCTTCACCAAGGAGGTGTTCAAGATCCTGGCATCGTTCCTTCAGAGAAAACCGCTGACATGGTCTGGTGAGCATCAGCATTATGGTGGTCTAGCCTTCTTGGTTGAACTGTTCCCATGCAGCCACAACAGCCGGCAAGGATAGGGGTGTACGAGCGGTTCTCACAATTTGTCTGATATTCGTCGAGCCAGGCGAGGGTTGGCCGTTCGGATGAACGCCTAGGCGCGGCAACAAAGCCAGTCCTGGCACCATCATACGACTTCAGGAGCCAACCTATAGCAGCCATTATACACCTTTCTAGCCAATGGATGCCGCCCGTCTTCATTCGTGGATAAACATTCCAGTTTTAATCAAGGGCCCAGATGGAGCTTGAAAGGTCTTCTGGTTCGCAAACTTGTTGTTGTTGGACGTCGGGGGATCAAAAGGAAGAAAGAAGGTGTTCGGTCCGTTCAGGGACGAATAGACATCCCTGCTCATAGCTTGTCGATTCCGCCTGAAACATCTCACCGACTGTTGCCACCGTATTTTGTCTTCCACCTTGCACAAGGTTAAATCGATCTGAGCAGCCGGGGTAACGGAGAATCGCTGGGCAGGGACTAAAGCGTGATCAGAGTAACAGCTAGTGCACATAGCGTTTGCATGAAGATCGGCACTCTCCTTGCTGGTGCAGCTCTCACAAGGATGAATCATCCTCATGTAATTATCTTGGGGTGTCTGCAAGACTGCCATGCACAGCACTGCTCACGACGAGATTTTGATACTCCCCTAGGACGGTTGTGGCAACCGTCGTTGGATATGCTGAAGTTGAGCAACATCTAAAAACCTCCTTATTGCGTCAATTCGGGCCTACCGGCACGTTGCATCTAGGCTGCGTTTGCGTTGCAGATCGATACAACCCTGGGTCTGAAAGCAAAAAAACGGGAATGGGAAGCCTTTTCGACCCGGGAGATTAGAGGAGCTTCGTGGTGGTCTTGGGTGGGTGTGTCAAGGATAGGGAGGTTAGGTCGACTTGAATCCCACGGCAGCACGAGCCACTTTTTTGAGCAGTGGTCGGGACCACCTGACGATAGAGACCTAGATCGGTTATATACTAGTACGTAGTCTGTTTTTAGACGGAAATAGAGAGGGGGAAAAAAGAATGATAATCGAGGCTAAAGTATGTGGTTGGACCAATGTTTCTTTTTGTTTTGTATTCTTAGCCAAGAACAGTTATGTGGCCCGAAAGCGGCCGAAAAGGCCATTGCCGATGCTGCTGTCCTGTTGTCTAAGAAAAACTTGCTCACGTGGAGACTATCGAATCGCACTTGACTTGTTGGAACTACTAGGCTTAGTTGACAAGGTTGGGACTGCAGTTGGGACACCATACGGAGTACGGACAGTCAAGTCTGTCATCTCATCATCCTGCTCGCATTCGCCCATTCGCCCATTCGCCCATTCGCCCGCCAAGTTGTCCAACATACATACTTAAGTACATACAACATCCTCAGACGCTCGTATCGTCTTTAACTCTCAGGCGGTGGAGAATGTTCTGTTGGGGCGCTGGGCAAAAGCGGTGCGTGCTCAGCGTCGTCGAGTTTGGTGTTCCACACTGAGTTGGGATGAAACTATGACAACTTCTGCAGTCCGGATACTGATGATAGAACAACATTCTTGGTACATACCCGGAGGCTTGAGCCGCCTGCGCATGGCTGGATCTTCGCAGGGATTCCACCTGCAGGTGCTGCTAAGGGTACGCAAACGTGACTGTCTGTTTTAGGCGTGGCTCAATTTGCACTAGAACTGCCGGGAGGGTCGACATGCCCTGTTTCTGTTACCAGATCGATCAAGATTGCAGGGTTTCTGTACGTGTATGTATGTATTGTACCGGGCACATACCGCAGCTTTGGGCGCTGGATGTACTCCGTACCTAGGTAGGTATCGAATTAGCCGATGAATGGTCTGAGGTTATGTCATTCCTCAAGAGGTGTGTGTACACGAAGAACTGCAAGATCATGCTCGTGGGCAAATCCCGTAATTAAGGATGAAAGGGGGCCGGAATCACCCAGTCGGGTGAGTTGTTAGTCTGCCAAACGAAGCAGATGTAAGACAGTGATGCAGTTTTCGTGCTTGGCGGCCAATTGGAGGCGTAGCCCTGGTGTTCTGAGTTGACATGCCTTTGGCAAGGAATCTCTACAGAAAGTCTACATACATGTTATGTAAGGCGGCAGTATGCGCTGTCACTTCCGCCGATCCAGAGAGAGTCTCCTGTTCCGTGCACGCGGCCCAGGAACAGCCGCTCCACATGCCGAATGTAGAAGAAGACGGTTACAATTTGTCTCAAGAGTTGACACGGCAGCTGCGGCGTAAACGCCCGGGAACGTTATTGTAAACGGGAACCCGGTTGCCCTTGCTCCTTACCAAGGACTGGGCTGAAACGATCTATAGCATGAGTTGGACGATTGGTTTGTGGCAGTGCCTTTCTGTTATTACTATTCACTGCTATGTATTTCAGAGCTTCTGGGTTAGAAAAAGGCGAGTAAAACGCCTCCCTCCGCTATACGGGCCTGAGACACGGAACCAGTTAAACTTAATATGGCCCGAGACAACACACTGCCGCCGCGTGTATGTACGTGAGATGCCAGATGACAGCATGACAGCGCGCTGAAATTTCAGTCTGGTCTGAGGAAAACCAGTTAGACGCAGGGACGAGTCCAGCCGCTACCGCCTGGCCAGTTGGCCAGCGACGCCGACACCCTCCACACTGAGATCGAAGACAACGTTAGCCCGGTGTCGTCTTAATCCTGGTCCCATGTCAGCAGTGTACATGCATGTACATAAGTCGTTTGATAATGACCAGGGTGTCCTAGCGACACAACCATGAAACATGGGGCCAAGCGTCCTTACGGGACAACAAACTCCCTCAACGCAAGACCTGACACGGCGTGGGCTGAAATTTCGGCAGTAGGCGGACGGAACGCTAGGGACCAGATGGCTAAACGCTGACCGGCCTATCGCTAGTCTTGCTCTCATTGGTATGGCGTGGCGAAGATTACCGCATCAAGGTTTCCTGATCCTCTTTGAATGATTGACACATACCCCCGTGATTCTTGAAATGAACAAAGACCATGTGACTTCGGGAAAATGCACAGTTGAAGTTTGACAGTCGATAGCGAATTAGTCAGGGGTGTATTACTTGTTCCGCGTTTTGTTCTGCGTTTGGAAGGTTATTGAGAGTCTGGGTACCAACCTAGGTATGTAGTAACCAATCCCCGTGTGTTTTGCTGTTTGCTTTGTAGCGTTTCTTCAGAGAGGAGACGGGACTGGAAACCGGGGCCGAGGGCGAACATGGATGCGGGAACATGGTACCGATAATGCACTGTACTGTATTGTCCTGCAAAGTTGGGGCGAAATAGTACATACGGCAACAATAGCTTGCAGTGATAGTAGTGCTGCAAAGCGTTTTGAAGCGGAGAATATGGGTTTGACTCAGGCTTGAACGACAAGATGGATGATGATGGATCCGGGATCAATCATGGATCATGGAAGGACGGTGGCCAACTGGCAACTAGCGACTGGTTCAGGGTGCTGCCATTTGCGCTAACGTGGCCGAATAGCAACTTGCCTGGTGTCGCCTTCCTCTCTGGAGAGAAACTGTAGTAGGCATGCACAGCCTCGATAGACCTGCGCTTGCCATCTATTAAGTTGACAATGTATGTACACATTGAGGCAAGGCTCTCTTTTGCAGAACTCCCATTGGCCTGTCATAAAAGTCTATAGAGTAACTTGGGCAGGTGCCTAGGTACCTAGGTACACAAATGTTTCCATCTTGTCCCCTCGTCATTTCGTCACATCAC